GGGAGCCAAACTGGGAGCACTGGGAGGGAACTGGGAGCAGTGGGAGGGAACTGGGAGGGAACTGGGAGCCCAAACTGGGAGCACTGGGAGCCAAACTGGGAGCACTGGGAGCCAAACTGGGAGCACTGGGAGCCAAACTGGGAGCACTGGGAGGGAACTGGGAGCACTGGGAGGGAACTGGGAGCACTGGGAGCCAAACTGGGAGCACTGGGAGGGAAACTGGGAGCACTGGGAGGGACTGGGAGCACTGGGGAGGAGCTGGGTGGATACTGGGGAGCACTGGGGCCATAATGGGTTACACTGGTCTGTACTGGTCCATACTGGTTTTCCCAGCGGACCTGGGGCGGTGCAGCCCGGCTGCTTGTCGGCACTGGTACACACTGGTCTGTACTGGTCTGTACTGGTTTATACTGGTCCATAGTGATTTATATTGGTTTATACTGGCCCATACTGGTTTACACTGGTCCATACCAGTCCGTACCAGTCGGTACCGGTCTGTACTGGCCCATACTGGTCCATACCAGTCTGTACTGGTCCGTACTGGTCCGTACTGTTCCGTACCAGTCTGTACGGGTCTGTACCAGTCCGTACTGGTCCATACTGGTTTATACCAGTTTATACTTGTCCATAGTGATTTATACTGGTCCGTACTGGTTTATACTGGTCCATACTGGTTTACACCGGTCCATACCGCTTCCCCAGGACCTGGGCTCGGTGCAGCCCGGCTGCTTGTTGGCACTGGTACACACTGGTCTGTACTGGTCCATACCAGTTTATACCGGTCCATAGTGATTTATACTGGTTTATACTGGTTTATACTGGTCCATACCAGTCCATACTGGTTTATACCGGTCCGTACTGGTTTATACTGGTTTATACCGGTCCATACTGGTTTACACCGGTCCATACCGGTTTATACCGGTCCCTACTGGTCCCCAGGACCTGGGCTCGGCGCAGCCCGGCTCCTTGTCAGCACTGGTATACACCAGTCCGTACTGGTCCATACTGGTCCATACTGGTTTATACCGGTCCGTACTGGTCCATACTGGTCCATACTGGTTTATACCGGTCCATACTGGTTTACACTGGTTTATACTGGTCCCTACTGTCCCCAGGACCTGGGCGCGGCGCAGCCCGGCTCCTCCTCGGCGCCGGTGGCGATCAGCGCGCACCAGAGCGAGCTGTGCTGCGCCGCGCTGAGCGCCCCGGGCTCGCTGCTGGCCTCGGCCTCGCGCCGCGGGACCCTGATCCGCCTCTTCTGCACCCAGAGCCGCGCGCGCCTGCTGGAGCTGCGCCGGGGCACCGACCCCGCCACCCTGTACTGGTGGGACTGGGAGCACTGGGGGGACTGGGGGGGAGTGGGGAAACGGGCACCGACCCCGCCACCCTATACTGGTGTGGCTGGGCAAACTGGGAACACTGGGGATACTGGGAAACTGGGGGAACTGGGGAAACCGGCACCGACCCCGCCACGCTCTACTGGTGGGACTGGGGAAACTGGGGGGGACTGGGGGGGGCTGGGGAAACCAGCACCGACCCCGCCACGCTATACTGGTGGGACTGGGGGAACTGGGGGGGCTGACACCGACCCCGCCACGCTATACTGGTGGGACTGGGGGCACTGGGGGGACTGGGGGGACTGGGGAAACTGGGAACACTGGGGAAACGGGCACCGACCCCGCCACCCTATACTGGTGCCACTGGGCAAACTGGGCAAACTGGGCAAACTGGGAAACTGGGGAAACTGGCACCGACCCCGCCACGCTCTACTGGTGGGGCTGGGGGGGCTGGGGGGACTGGGGGGGCTGGGAGGGACTGGGGAAACTGGGGAAACTGGGAACACTGGGACCGACCCCACCACCCTATACTGGTGGGACTGGGGGTATTGGGGGGGCTGGGGGGACTGGGGAAACTGGGAGGGACTGGGGGGACTGGGAAACTGGGGAAACGGGCACCGACCCCGCCACGCTCTACTGGTGGGGCTGGGCAAACTGGGAACACTGGGGGGGACTGGGGAAACGGGCACCGACCCCGCCACCCTATACTGGTGCCACTGGGGGGACTGGGAGCACTGGGAGCACTGGGAGCACTGGGAGGGACTGGGGAAACGGGCACCGACCCCGCCACGCTATACTGGTGGGACTGGGGGGACTGGGGGAACTGGGACCGACCCCGCCGTGCTGTACTGGTGGGGCTGGGAGCACTGGGGGGGACTGGGGGGGCTGGGGGGACTGGGGAAACTGGGGGGGACTGGGGGAACTGGGGAAACGGGCACCGACCCCGCCACCCTCTACTGGTGCCACTGGGGAAACTGGGCAAACTGGGAGCACTGGGAGGGACTGGGGAAACTGGGAAACTGGGGGAACTGGGACTGACCCCGCCATGTTCTACTGGTGCGGCTGGGGGGACTGGGAGGGACTGGGGGGGCTGGGAGGGGCACCTGAGCACTTGGGGACCCCTCCCAAGGCGATTTTGGGGTGCTGCCCCTCCCAGCCTGGTTTTGGGGTTCCCTCCCTGCCCGGCTGAGCTGCTCCAGCTCCACCGTACTGGGGGCACTGGGAGGGACTGGGGGGCACTGGGAGGGACTGGGGGAACTGGAGGTGGACTGGGGGAGCCCCGGCCTGATGGGGTTTTGGGGTTCCCCCCATTCCTCACGGGTTTCTTGGGAGGTTTTGGGGTGCCCCCACCCCTGACGGTTTTTGGGGTGCCCCTATCCCTGACAGATTTTGGGGTTCCCCCCAGCCCTGGTGAGGTTTTGGGGGAGGTTTTGGGGGAGGTTTTGGGGTGCCCCCAGCCCTGGTGAGGTTTCAGAGGAGGTTTTGGGGTGCCCCCACCCCTGACAGATTTCGGGGTGCCCTCAGCCCTGGTGAGGTTTCAGAGGAGGTTTTGGGGTGCCCCCACCCCTGACAGATTTCGGGGTTCCCCAGCCTGTCCTTCAGCCCCGACTGCTCCTTCCTGTGCGCGGCCAGCGACAAAGGCACCGGCCACGTCTTCGCCCTGCGGGACACGCGGCTCAACCGGCGCTCGGCGTGAGTTGTGGGGTGTGGGGGGTCCCCCAAACCCCCCGGGCCCCCCGAGCCCCCCTGACCCGCTGTGCCCCCCAGGCTGGCGCGCGTGGGGAAGGTGGGGCCGGTGCTGGGCCCCTACGTGGAGTCCCAGTGGTCCCTGGCCAGTTTCGCCATCCCGGCGGAGGCGCCCGGGGTGTGCGCCTTCGGCAGGGCCGGCCGCAGCCCCAGCTCCGTCATCGGTGAGAGACACCCCCGAGAGACCTGAATGTGCCTGAAATAACCCCCAAACACTCCTGAAATAACCCCGAAACACTCCCTGAAATAGCCCCGAAACACTCCCTGAAATACCCCAAATGTGCCTGAAATAACCCTGAGAGAGCCCCTGAAATAACCCTGAGAGACCCCTGGAATAACCCTGAGAGACCCCTGGAATAACCCCAAATGTGCCTGAAATAACCCCGAAACACTCCTGAAAATAACCCTGAGAGACCCCTGAAATAACCCCGAAACACTCCTGAAATAACCCCCAAACACTCCCTGAAATAACCCCGAAACACTCCCTGAGATACCCCAAATGTGCCTGAAAATAACCCTGAGAGAGACCCTGAGATACCCCTGAGAGACCCCAAGATACCCTGAATGTGCCTGAAAATAACCCTGAGAGACCCCTGAAATAACCCCGAAACACTCCCTGAAATAGCCCCGAAACACTCCCTGAAATACCCCAAATGTACCTGAAAATAACCCTGAAACACTCCTGAAATAACCCCGAAACTCTCCCTAAAATATCCCAAATGTGCCTGAAAATAACCCCGAGAGACCCCCGGAATAACCCTGAGACGCTCCCTAAATAACCCAAATAAACCTTAAATAACCCAAACCCCCTCAGGGATCCCCTAAACCCCCTTAACCCCCCCCAAACCCCCCCTAAACCCCCTCAGCCCCCCCTAACACCCCCTAAACCCCCTCAAATCTGCCCTAAACACCCCCAGGCCCCTCCCAAACCCCTCCAAACCCCCCCATGGCCCCCCTAAAAGCCCCCAAATGCCCCCAACCCCCCCCAAACCCTCCCTAGGCACCCCCAGGGCACCCCTGAACACCCCCAAACCCCCTCAAAATCCCCCTAAACCCCCTCAAACACCCCCTAAACCCCCCCTCAGCACCCCCAGGGCACCCCTGAACACTCCCAAACCCCATCAAACCCCCCCCCTAAACACTCCCAGGGCCCCCCCCAAACCCCCTCACCCCCCTCTAAACCCCCTCAACCCCCCCAAACCCCCTCAAACCCTCTCAACCCCCCCCCCTAAACCCCCTCAAACCCCTCCTAAACACTCACAGGGCCCCCCTAAACTCCCTCAAACCCCCTCAAATCCCCCCAAACCCCCTCAAACCCCCCCTAAACCCCCTCAAACCCCCCCAAACACTCTCAAATCCCCCCAAACCTCCTCAAACCCCTCAAGCCCCCCCGCAACCCCCCCCAAACCCCCCTCAAACCCCCCAAACCCCCTCAAATCCTCCCCAAATCCCCCCTAACCCCCCCAACCCCTTTAAACCCCCCCAAACGCCCTCAAACCCCCCAAACCCCCCTAAACCCCCTCAACCCCCCACCAAACCCCCCCAAATCCCCCCAAGCCCCCCCATATCCCCCCAAATCCCCTCAAACCCCCCCAAACCCCCTTAAACCCCCCCAAACCTCCCCAAAGTCCCTCAAACCCCCCCAAAACCCTTCAAATCCCCCCTAACCCCCCCCAAACCCCCTAAAACCCCCCAAATCCCCCAAACCCTCTCCCCCCCCCCCCCAGCCGTGTGTGTGGACGGCACCTTCCACAAGTACGTGTTCAGCCCCGACGGGAACTGCAACCGCGAGGCCTTCGACGTCTTCCTGGACATCTGCGACGACGACGACTTCTGACCCCCCCCCGGGACCCCCAAAACCCCCCCGGGACCCCCCGAGCCGGGGGACCCCCCCCAAAACCAGCCGGACCCCCCAAACCTCGCCCGTGTCTTTATTGGTGTCTCGGCGTAACAAAGGGGGTTTAAAAAGCTCCAAAAGGGGGGAGGGGGATACAAAATCGGGGTCCCCCCCCGCGTGCCCGGGGACCCCCCCCGTGTTCTGGGGGGGGTGGGGAGTCCCCCCCTCCTGCCCCTCCCCCCGCCCGTGGGCCCGGCCCAGCCTTTGGCCCGGGGGGGGTTTGGGGGTCCCGGGGTGCTGGTGATGATTTGGGGGGGGGTTTGGCACGTGTGTAGCCCTTTAAGAGAGGGGGGAGGGGTGGGGTGGGGGTGCTGGGTGGGGGAGGGGCTCAGAGGGAGGAGGTGGGGGGGTCCGTGCCGAATTTGAGGCGGTAGATGAAGGTTTTGGTGGGGAGCAGCACCTGGGGGGGGATGGGGGGGGTCAGGCAATGAACCCCTCCCCCCCTCCCCGCACTCCCCAGTGGTTCTTTCCAACCCCCCCCCCCCGCTCGGCAATGGTGCGGTCCGAGGTGGGATTGCCTCCCCCCGTACCCCCATGGTTCGCTCCAGTCCCCCCCCCGCCTCCCCCTTCCCAATGGTTCATCCCAACTTCGACCCCCAGCCCAGCGTCGTGCCTCCCCCGCCCCCGTCTCCACAATGGTTCGGCCCAACCTTGTTTCCCCACCCCCCCCCCCCGCATTCCCCCGTGGTTCAGCCCAGCGCCACCCCGACCCCAGCGGTTCAGTGGTTCAGCCCGTATCCCCCCCATTCCCCATTCCCTGATGGTTCACCCCATATCCCCCCCCCCAATTCCCTGATGGTTCACCCCCTGCCCCCCCCCCCCCGCTCCCACAATGGTTCATTCCCAAAGCCCCCAGACCCCCAAACTCGGGGGGGGTGGGAGGGGGAGTGCAGAGACCCCCCGGAGGGGTGAGGGAGTCCCCCAAAAACCCCTGACACCTCCAGACCCCCCCAGACCCCAATGACACCCCCAGACCCACCAGGTGGGTGACGTAGCCCCCGCAGGGATAGCACCCAGTGACACCCCCAGACCCCTGTGACCCCCCCAGACCCCCCCAGACCCCAATGACACCCCCAGACCCCAGTGACCCCTGTGACCCCAATGACCCCCCCAGACCCCGGTGACCCCCCCAGAGCCCCCAGACCCACCGGGTGGGTGACGTAGCCCCCGCAGCGGTAGCACCCTGTGACCCCTGTGACCCCTGTGACCCCAGTGACCCCTGTGACCCCGGTGACACCCACCGGGTGGGTGACGTAGCCCCCGCAGCAGTAGCACCCCGTGACCCCCATGACCCCCCCAGACCCCAATGACCCCCCCAGACCCACCGGGTGGGTGACGTAGCCCCCAGACCCGTGTGACACCCACCGGGTGGGTGACGTAGCCCCCGCAGCGGTAGCACCCCCAGACCCCCACAATGACACCCCCAGACCCACCGGGTGGGTGACGTAGCCCCCGCAGGTGTAGCACCACGCCGTCAGGTCCCGCAGGCTCAGCACCAGGGGGTGTCCCTGTGCCCCCCCGTGTGCCAACATGTGCCCCCCGGAGTAGCGCCCGCACAGCACCTGCGGGGGCGGCACGGAACGGAACGGGTCAGATCGGACCGGATCGGCACGGACCAGATTAGATTGGATCGGATCGGCACGGATTGGCACGGATCGGATCGGATCAGATCAGATCGGATCAGACCGGATCGGAATGGATCGGATGGGACTGGATTGGATCGGCTCAGACCAGGTCAGACCGGGTCGGACCGGATCGGCACAGATTGGATCCGATCAGATCGAATCGGATCGGCACGGATCGGACCGGACCGGATCGGGTCGGATTGGATCAGACCGGGTCGGATCGGGTCGGACTGGATCAGATAGAATCAGATCAACATGGACCAGATCGGATTGGCACAGACCGGACCAGATCGACACGGAATGGATCAGCACGGATCAGATCGGCACAGACCGGACCGGATCGGATTGGACCGGATCGGCACAGATCGGAGCGGGTCGGATCGGATCAGCACGGATTGGGGATTTTGGGGTGGTTTTGGGGTGTTTTAGGGTGGTTTAGGGTGATTTTGGGGTGCCATTTTTGGCCTGTTTATCGGCTGTTTTTAGGGTATTTTCAGGCTGTTTTTGGGGTCTTTTTGGACTGTTCTGGGGCTATTTTTGGGCTGGTTTTGGGGTGATTTGGGGGGTATTTTTGGGCTGCTTTGGGGGTGTTTTTGGGTTGTTTTTGGGGTGATTTTTGGGCTGTTTTTGGGCTATTTTTGGGATGTTTTTGAGGTGATTTTGGGGGTATTTTTGGGGTGTTTTGGGGGTATTTTTGGGGTATTTTTGGGGTGTTTTTGGGTGATTTTTGGGTTGGTTTTGGGGTGATTTTGGGGGTATTTTTGGGCTATTTTGGGGATATTTTTGGGGTGTTTTTGGAGTGATTTTGGGGGTATTTTTGGGGTATTTTTGGGTGTTTTTGGGGTGTTTTTGGCTGGTTTTACCTGGTGGCAGGTGAGGCAGAGCCAGTTCTCGCGGCGGCTGCCGCAGACCCCGCAGGGGGGGGGCAGCAGCTCCCCCAGGGCCCCCCCGGGTGGGGGAGGGGCCACAGCCCCCAGGTGGGGACAGCCCTGGAGGGGCGTGACCGCGAACAGCGCCCCCTGGCGGCGGGGAGGAACGGCGGCATGAGTGCTGGGGGGTCCCAAAATCCCACCCCAGACCCCGCCCCAAAAACCCCACCCCAAAAACCCCCACCCCAAAATCCCCCACCCCAAAAACCCCCACCTCAAACCCTGCCCCCAAATTCTCCCCCCAAATCCCCCATCCCAAACCCTGCCCCAAATCCCCCACCCCAAATCCCCCACACCAAATCCCCCACCCCAAAAACCCACACCCCAAATCCTCCCCCCCAAATCCTCCCCCAAATCCCCCACCCCAAACCCCCCACCCCAAATCCTCCCCCTAAATCCTCCCCCCAAATCCTCCGCCCCAAATCCCCCACCCCAAACCCTGCCCCGAAAACCCCCACCCCAAAAACTCCCACCCCAAATCCTGCCCCCAAATCCCCCAACCCAAACCCTCCCCTGCAAAATCCCCCACTCCAAATCCTCCCCCCAAATCCCTCCCCCCAAATCCCCCACCCCAAATCCCCCACCCCAAAAACCCACACCCCAAATCCTGCCCCAAGTCCTCCCCCCCAAATCCTCCCCCAAATCCCCCACCCCAAATCCCCCCCACAAACCCATCCCCCAAAACCCCCACCCCAAATCTGCCCAGACCCCTCCCCAAAATCCAAAGCCCCCCAGACCCTTCCCCAACCCCCCCCGACCCCTCCCCAAACCCCCTCAAACCCCCAAAGCCCCTCAGACCCCTCCCCAAAATCCAACCCCCCCCAGACCCCTCCCCAAACCCCCTCAAACCCCCCAGACCCCTCCCCCAACCCCCTCCAGACCCTCCTCAAACCCCCCCAAAACCCCCACCCCAGACCCCTGCCCAAAATCCAACCCCCCCCCAGACCCCTCCCCCAACCCCCTCCAGACTTTCCTCAAACCCCCCCAAAACCCCCACCCCAGACCCCTCCCCAAAATCCAACTCCCCCCGCCCCTCCCCCACCTCCTCCAGCTCCTCCTCCTCCCAGCAGGCGGCGCTCGCGGCCGGGGGGGCGGGGCCCGTCGGAAGCTCCGCCCCCTGATCTGCCTCGGCCCCGCCCCCGGCCCCGGCCCCGCCCCCGAGCTGCAGCGCCCCCAGGCGGCGGGCGGCGGCAGTGACGTCATCGGCGGCGGTTGTGACGTCATCAGCGGTGGCAGTGACGTCATCACCGCCCTCCTCCTCCTTGGGGGGCTCAACTGGAGGGGGGGGAGAGAGGAGGGGGGTTGGGGGGTTTGGGGGGTCCTGGGTGTCCCCAGGGGACTGGGACAGGGCTTGGGGGGTCCTGGGGGGCCATGGGGGGGCCCGGGGCAGTTTGGGGGGTCCCAGGGCAGTGGGGGGGGGTCCCAGGGCAGTGTTGGGGGGTCCCAGGGCAGTGTGGGGGGGTACCAGGGGATCCCAGGGCAGTTTGGGGGGGGGTCCCGGGGGATCCCGGGGGTCCTGGGGTGGTGTTGAGGGGTCCCGGGGATCCCAGGTCAGTGTGGGGGGTCCCGAGGGGGTCCCAGGTCAGTGTGGGGGGGTCCCGGGGCAGTTTGGAGGGCTCCCGGGGCAGTGTGGGGGGGTCCCGTGGGGGTCCCGGGGCGGTGTGGGGGGTCCCATGGCAGTGTTGGGGGGTCCCGGGGCAGTGTTGGGGGGTCCCGGGGCAGTGTTGGGGGGTCCCGGGGGTCCCGGGTCAGTTTGGGGAGGGGTCTCACCGGGGGGCAGGCGCAGGCAGCTCCAGCAGCCCCTCTGGGCCCGCAGGGTCCGGCCCAGCGCCCGCAGCGCCGCGGGTTGGGGGGTCCCGGGGGGCGGCAGCGAGGGGGGGTCCCCCAGCAGGACCCCCAGGCACTGCCCCACCCCCTCGGCCGTCACCGACAGGTTGTAGCCGCCCTGAGACCCCCGAACAGAGACCCCCGAGTCAGAGACCCCCGGGTCAGAGACCCCCAAACAGAGACCCCCGGGTCAGAGACCCCCACCCCCCAGTGCCACCCCCCCATGGGACCCCCAGACCAACCCCCCAAACCCTGACCAGGCCCCCCCGGCCCATCTGACCCACCCTGGGACCCCCAGTGGGACCCCCAGACCCCCAGAGAGACCCCCGGGGTCTCCCCAAACCCCCCAGGACCCCCAAACCCCCCCTTGGGGACCCCCAAATCCCACCTTTAGGACCCCCCAGGACCCCAAACCCCCCCTTGGGGACCCCCAGGACCCCCCAGGACCACCAAAACCCCCCCTGGGGACCCCCAGGACCCCAACCCCCCCGTTTTAGGACCCCCCAGGACCCCCAGGCCCCCCCCTTGGGGACCCCCAGGACCCCCCAGGACCCCCAAACCGCCCCTTTGGTGACCCCCAGGACCCCCAACTCCTTCTTTAGGACCCCCAGGCCCCCTCAAACCCCCGTTTTAGGACCCCCAGGACCCCCCCAGGACCCCCAAATCCCCCCTTTAGGACCCCCCAGGACCTCCAACCGCCCCCTTTGGTGACCCCCCAGGACCCCAACCCCCCCTTGGGAACCCCCCAGGACCCCAAACTGCTCCTTTGGGGACCTCCACTCTCTTTGGGGAACCCCAGGACCCCCAAACCCCCACTTTAGGACCCCCAGGACCCCCCAGGACCCCCAAAAATCCCCCTTGGGGACCCCCAGGACCCCCCAGGACCCCCAAACACCCCCTTTAGGACCCCCCAGGACCCCCCCAGGACCCCCCGGCCCCCCTGACTCACCTCGAGCAGCAGCACCAGGCGCCCCCCCGCCAGCCCCCCCAGCAGGTGGGTCATGAGGCCGAAGGTTTGGGGGGACACCAGACACCCCCCCAGGGGGTCCCCCCGGCCCGCGTCGAACCCGGCGGAGACCAGCACCAGCTCCGGCCCGAACTGGGGGGCACAGCCTCAGGGGGGGCTCAGCGACCCCCACAGCGCCCCTTGGGGGGCAGCGACACCCCCAAAGTGCCGCCGCGGCCCCACAGCCCAACATGGACCCAAAAAGGAGCCCCGAAAGGTCCCCCCACCCAAATCACAGCCAGAGCCCCCCAGAGGGACCCTGAGCCCCCCAAATCACAGCCAGAGCCCCCCAGAGGGACCCTGAGCCCCCCAAATCACAGCCAGAGCCCCCCCCAGAGGGACCCTGACCCCAAAAAGGGACCCTGACCCCCCCAGAGGGACTCTGACCCCAAAAAGGGACCCTGACCCCAAAAAGGGACCCTGACCCCCAAAAAGGGACCCTGACCCCAAAAAGGGACCCTGACCCCCAAAAAGGGACCCTGACCCCCAAAAAGGGACCCTGACCCCCCCAGAGGGACCCTGACCCCCACAAAAAGGGACCCTGACCCCAAAAAGGGACCCTGACCCCAAAAAGGGACCCTGACCCCCAAAAAGGGACCCTGACCCCAAAGGGACCCTGACCCCAAAGGGACCCTGACCCCCAAAAAGGGACCCTGACCCCCCCAAAGGGACCCTGACCCCAAAAAGGGAACCCTGACCCCCCCAGAGGGACCCTGACCCCCCCCAAAGGGACCCTGAACCCCCAAAGGGACCCTGACCCCAAAAAGGGACCCTGACCCCAAAAAGGGACCCTGACCCCCCCAAATCACAGCCAGAGCCCCCCAGAGGGACCCTGACCCCCCCAAAAAGGGACCCTGACCCCAAAAAGGGACCCTGACCCCCCCAAAAAGGGACCCTGACCCCAAAAAGGGACCCTGACCCCCCCAAAGGGACCCTGACCCCCCCAAAGGGACCCTGACCCCCCCAGAGGGACTCTGACCCCAAAAAGGGACCCTGACCCCAAAAAGGGACCCTGACCCCAAAAAGGGACATGACCCTTCCCCAAAGAGACCCAACAGTGCCTTAAACAGCCAAAAGAAACCCAAAAGAAACCCAAAATAAACCCGAAACAAAAACAAAATAAACCCAAAACAACCTCAATTTCTCCCCAAATAAACCCCAAATAAACCCCAAATAAACCCCAAAAACCCCCAATAACCCCGAACAAACCCGAAATAACCCCAAATAAACCCCAAATAACCCAAAACAAACCCAAATAAACCCCAAACAACCCCAAATAACACTAAATAACCCTAAAGAACCCCAAAAACCCCCAAACAAACCCCAAATAAACCCGAAATAACCCCAAACAAACCCGAACAAACCCCAAATAAACCCCAAATAACCCAAAACAAACCCAAATAAACCCCAAATAACCCCAAATAACCCCAAATAAACCCCAAATAAACCCAAATAAACCCCAAATAACCCCAAATAAACCCAAATAACCCCCAAAAAACCCCAAATGACTGCAAACAACCCCAAATAAACCCAAATAACTCTAAATAAAACACAAAAAACCCCAAACAAACCCCAAATAAACCCGAAATAACCCCAAACAAACCCGAACAAACCCCAAATAAACCTGAAATAACCCCAAACAAACCAAATTAAACCCCAAATAACCCCAAATAAACCCCAAATAACCCCAAATAACCCCAAAAAAAACCCAAATGACTGCAAACAAACCCCAAATAAACCCAAATAACTCCAAATAAAACACAAAAAACCCCGAACAAACCCCAAATAAACCTGAAATAACCCCAAACAAACCCAAATAAGCCCCAAATAACCCCAAATAACCCCAAATAACCCCAAATAACCCCAAACAAACCCCAAATAAACCCCAAAAAACCCCAAATAACCCCAAATAAACCCCAAATAACCCCAAATAAACCCCATATAAACCCCATATAAACCCAAATAAACCCGAAATATACCCCAAAAAACCCCAAATAACCCCAAACAAACCACAAATAACCCCAAATAACCCCAAAAACCCCCAAACAAACCCCAAATAAACCCGAAATAACCCCAAACAAACCCCAAATAAACCTGAAATAACCCCAAACAAACCCAAATAAACCCCAAATAACCCCAAATAACCCCAAAAAAACCCAAATAACCCCAAACAAACCCCAAATAAACCCCAAATAACCCCAAATAACCCCAAAAAACCCCAAATAACCCCAAATAAACCCCAAATAACCCCAAATAACCCCCAAAAATCCCCCAAACCCCTCTCACCTGTGCGGCCAGGGGCAGCAGCAGCCGGCTCAGCGCCGTCAGGTACTCGGGGTCCCCCACTCGGGGTCCCCCCCAGGCCACGTTGACGGTGAAGCCGCGGCCGGGACCCCTCCCCCGGCGCCGCGGGGACCCCCCGGGACCCCCCGGGAAAAAGGAGCCGTCCCCACGGTGCAGGGACACGTACAGGACACTGCGGGACCCCGAAAGGGACACTGGCACCCCAAAAGGGACCCCAGCACCTCGAAAGTGGCACTGGCACCCCGAAAGGGACCCAGAGACCCCGAAAAGTGACCCCAGTGCCCCGAAAAGTGATCCAGAGACCCCGAAAAAGTGACCGCGGCACCCCAAAAAGTGACACTGGCACCCCGAAAAGTGACCCCAGTGCCCCGAAAAGTGACACTGGCACCTCGAAAAGTGACCCCAGTGCCCCAAAAAGTGACCCCAGCGCCCCGAAAAGTGACCCCGGCACCCCAAAAGTGACACCGAGACCCTGAAAAGTGACCCAGAGACCCCGAAAAGTGACCCCGGAACCCCGAAAAGTGACCCAGAGACCCCGAAAAGTGACCCCAGTGCCCCAAAGTGACCCAGAGACCCAGAAAAGTGACCCCGGCACCCCAAAAAGTGACTCAGAGACCCCAAAAAGTGACGCAGAGACCCCGAAAAGTGACCCCAGTGCCCCGAAAAGTGACCCCGGCACCCCAAAAAGTGACCCGGGCACCCCGAAAAGTGACGCAGAGACCCCGAAAAGTGACCCCGGCACCCCAAAAAGTGATACTGGCACCCAGAAAAGTGACCCAGAGACCCCAAAAAGTGACCCAGCGCCCCAAAAAGTGACCCCAGCACCCCAAAAAGTGACCCAGAGACCCCGAAAAGTGACCGAGAGACCCTGAAAAGTGACACTGGCACCCCAAAAAGTGATACTGGCACCCAGAAAAGTGACCCAGAGACCCCAAAAAGTGACCCAGCGCCCCAAAAAGTGACCCCAGCACCCCAAAAAGTGACCCAGAGACCCCGAAAAGAGACACTGGCACCCCGAAAAGTGACCCAGAGACCCCGAAAAGAGACACTGGCACCCCGAAAAGTGACCCAGAGACCCCGAAAAGAGACACTGGCACCCCGAAAAGCGACCCAGAGACTCCGAAAAGAGACACTGGCACCCCGAAAAGTGACACTGGCACCCCGAAAAGCGACCCAGAGACTCCGAAAAGAGACACTGGCACCCCGAAAAGTGACCCCGGCACCCCAAAAAGTGACACTGGCACCCAGAAAAGTGACACCGAGACCCTGAAAAGTGACACAGAGACCCCAAAAAGTGACACAGAGACCCCGAAAAGTGGCCCCAGCACCCCGAAAAGTGACTGAGAGACCCTGAAAAGTGACACCGGCACCCCGAAAAGTGACGCAGAGACCCCGAAAAGTGACGCAGAGACCCCGAAAAGTGACCCCAGCACCCCGAAAAGTGACCCAGAGACCCCAAATCCCCGCGGGACCCCAAAAACTGCCCCAAACCCCCGCGGGACCCCAAAAACTGCCCCAAAGACCCCAAATCCCCGCGGGACCCCGAAAAGTGCCCCAAATCCCTGCAGGACCCCAAAAACTGCCTCAGAGACCCCCAAAACCCCTTCCTGGGCACCCCCAAACCCCCCCAGAGACCCCAAGCTCCCCTGTGCACCCCAAAACCCTCCCTGGGCACCCCCAAATCCCCCCTGGGCACCCCCAAACCCCCCCAGAGACCCCCAAGCCCCCCCAAACCCCCACCAGGTACCCCCAAACCGCCCCCGAGCCCCCCGAGCCCCTCCCCACCTGGGGTCCTCCTCGAAGATCTCCTGGGTGCCGTTGCCGTGGTGAATGTCCCAGTCCAGGATCAGCACCCTGAGCACGGCAGCGGGAATTGGGGGGCTGGGGGAATTTGGGGGGGTCCAGGGGGTGCCCAGGGGGAGTTTGGGGGTGCCTGGGGGGGATTTGGGGGTGCCCAGGGGGGATTTGGGGGGATTTGGGGGTGCCCAGGGGGCTTTGGGGGTGCCCAGGGGGGGGGCCGGGGGGATTTGGGGATGCCCAGGGGCAATTTGGGGGGGTTTGGGGGTGCCCAGGGGGGATTTGGGGGGGCCCGGGGGGGGTAGGGGGTGCCCAGGGGGATTTGGGGGTGCCCGGGGGGTGCCCAGGGGGGATTTGGGGGTGCCCAGGGGGGATTTGGGGGTGCCCGGGGGGTGCCCAGGGGGGATTTGGGGGTGCCCAGGGGGGATTTGGGGGGTTTGGGGGTGCCATGGGGGATTTGGGGGGGCCCAGGGGGGGTTTGGGGGTGCCCAGGGGGGGACCCGGGGGGATTTGGGGGTGCCCAGGGAGGATTTTGGGGGGTTTGGGGGTGCCCAGGGGGGTTTGGGGGTGCCCAGGGGGGGCGCCCAGGGGGGATTAGGGGGTGCCCAGGGGGGATTTGGGGGTGCCCAGGGGGGATTTGGGGGGGTTTGGGGGTGCCAGGGGGGATTTGGGGGGTCCTGGGGGGATTTGGGGTGCCCAGGGGGGGTTTGGGGGTGCCCAGAGGAGATTTGGGGGTGCCTGGGGGGGTTTGGGGGTCCCCCTGCCGCGGTAACCCCATAGATGAGGGGGTCCCCCGTTCCCGGTGCTGTTCCCTGGGGGTCCCCCCGGTGCCGGTAACTGAGCGGGATCCCCCCATTCCCGTCCCCGTTCCCGTTCCCGGTGATTTCCCCGTTGTTCCCCGTTGTTCCCGGTTCCCGTTCCCGTTCCCGTTCCCGTCCCCATTCCCGTCCCCGTTCCCCTCCCCGTTCCCGTTCCCCTCCCCGTTGTTCCCCGTTGTTCCCCGTTGTTCCCGGTTCCCGTTCCCGTTGTTCCCCGTTGTTCCCCGTCGTTCCCCGTTGTTCCCCGCTGTTCCCGGTTCCCGTTCCCGTCCTCGTCCCCGTTCCCGGTGTTCCCCATTCCCGTTCCCGTCCCCGTTCCCGTCCCCGTTCCCGTTGTTCCCCGTTCCCATCCCCGTTGTTCCCCGTTGTTCCCGGTTCCCGTTCCCCTCCCCGTTCCCGTCCCCGTTCCCGGTGATTTCCCCGTCGTTCCCCGCTGTTCCCCGTTGTTCCCGTTCCCGGTACCGGAGCGCGCTCCCCGCCAGGCTCTGTCCGTGCCGCGCCGCCACGGCCGCGTTGTTGAAGAGGCAGAATCCGCCGGCGGAGCCGCGCCGGGCGTGGTGCCCCGGGGGCCGCAGCACGGCCAGGGCCGAGCGCACCTGCGGAGCGGCGGGTCAGGGGGCGCCGGGACCCCCGGGGCCGGTACGGCACGGCGGGACCCCCGGGGCCGGTACGGCACCGCCGGGACCCCCAAACCCCGCCATCGCCGGGACCCCCGGACCCGGTACCGCGGGACCCCCGGAGCCGGTACGGCGGGACCCCCAGACCCCGGGCACAGCGGGTCAGGGGGCACCGCCACCCCCGGGGACCCCCAAACCCCGCTGAGAACCCCGACTCCCCCCATGACCCCCGTGCCCCCCGTGCTCCAATGCCCCCCATGTCCCTCCGTGCCCCCCATGCCCCCCTTTTCCCCCCGTGCCCCACTTTGGTCTCCTTTACCCCCCATGTCCCCCGTCCGCCCTGTGCCCCCCGTGTCCCCCTTTACCCCCCGTGCCCCCCATGCCCCCCAAGCCCCCTGTGCCCCCCATGCCCCCAATGCCCCCATTACCCCCCATTACCCCCCCGTGCCCCCCAATGCCCCCCAAGCCCCCCGTGCCCCCCATGCCCCCCACGCCCCCCGTGCCCACCTCTCCCCGCAGCACGGCTCCCACGGCAGTGCAGGCTCCCCCCGTGCCCCCCGTGCCCCCTGTGTCCCCCTTTACCCCCCATGCCCCCCAAGCCCCCTGTGCCCCCCATGCCCCCAATGCCCCCATTACCCCCCATTACCCCCCCGTGCCCCCCAATGCCCCCCAAGCCCCCCATGCCCCCCATACCCCCCACACCCCCTGTGCCCCCCGTGCCCCCCATACCCCCGTGCCCCCCGTGCCCCCCACGCCCCCTGTACCCCCAATGCCCCCCATACCCCCCACGCCCCCCGTGCCCCCGTGCCCACCTGTCCCCGCAGCACGGCCCCCACGGCCGCGCACGCTCCCCCCGCTGCCAGGCGGGCACAGCCGAAGGACCGCGGGCACAGGAACACGCTCGGGAAGCGCCGCGACAGCACCCGGAGAGCCCGAGGGGACAGCAGCGGGCACCGGGACAGCGCCCGCACGTGGGACCGCCTGGGGACCCCGAAACTGCCGTCACCCCAAATACTGACTGGGAACCCCAAAAACTGCCATCATCCCAAACCCAGCGGGCACCAGGACAGCGCCCACACGTGGGCACGCCTGGGGACCCCAAAACACAGCGGTCACCCCAAATACTGACAGGGAACCCCAAAAACTGCCATCATCCCAAAATACTGCCAGGGAACCCCAAATACTGCCAGGGAACCCCAAATACTGACAGGGAACCCCAAAAACTGCCGTCATCCCAAACCCAGTGGGCACCGGGACAGTGCCCGCACGTGGGACCGCCTGGGGACCCCAAAACACAGCGGTCACCCCAAAATACTGACGGGGAACCCCAAAACACAACAGGGAACCCCAAAATACTGACAGGGAACCCCAAATACTGCCAGGGGACCCCAAAATACTGACAGGGAACCCCTAAAACTGCCGTCATCCCAAACCCAGCGGGCACCGGGACAGCGCCCGCACGTGGGCACGGCTGGGGACCCCGAAACTGCCGTCACCCCGAAATACTGACAGGGAACCCCAAAAACTGACAGGGAACCCCAAATACTGACAGGGAACCCCAAACCCGGGTCACCCCAAAGCACACAGGTCACCACAGAGACCCCAAACACAGCAGGAGGAACCCTCCCAAAACCCAGTCAGGGTCACCCCAAATCCCGGGCAGGGACCCCAAACCCGGGTCACCCCAAATCCCCAAATCCCCAAACCCGGGTCACCCCAAATCCCGGGCAGGGACCCCCAAAGTGCCCTGGCAGAGACCCCAAACCCTCCCCCCAGGGACCCCCTCACTCCCCAGCAGCTCCTGGGCCCAAATCCCCCAAATCCCCGCACTGGGGACCCCCCCAGGACCCCCCATTTCCCCCCCAGGACCCCCCATGGCCCCCCAAGACCCCTCCCAGGACCCTCCAAGACCCCCCATGACCCCACAGAACCCCACTTTTTCCCCCCATTATCCCCCCAGGATGCCCCCAAGAGCCCCCATAAGCCCCCCAAGACCCTCCCAGGACCCCCAATGTCCCCCCAGGACCCTCCCAGAACTCCCCCCGGACCCTCCAAGATGCCCCCAGGACCCCCAATGTCCCACCAGGACCCCAAACGTCCCCCCAAGACCCCCGTCCCCCGTCCCTACAGGACACCCCATGACCCCCCAGGAACCCCCATAAGACCCCCAAGACCCCTCCCAGGTCCCTCCAAGACCCCCCCAGCACCCCCAGGACCCCCAATGTCCCTCCAAGACCCCCGAAGAGCCCCCCCAGGACCCCCAATGTCCCTCCACGACCCCCGAAGAGCCCCCCCAGGACCCCCAATGTTCCCCCAGGACCCCCGAAGTCCCCCACAGAACCCTCCCAGCACCCCCAGGCTACCCAAAGTCCCCCCCAGGACCCCCAAAGTCCCCCCCAGGACCCCCAAAGTCCCCCCAGGACCCCTAAAGTCCCCCCCAGGACCCCCAAAGTCCCCCCAGGACCCCCAATGTCCCCTCCAGGACCCTCAAAGTCCCCCCCAGGACCCCCAAAGACCCCGCCAGGACCCCCAAAGTCCCCCCAGGACCCTCCCAGCACCCCCAGGACCCCCAAAGTGCCCCCCCAGGACCCTCAATGTCCCCCCAGCACCTCCAAAGTCCCCCCAGGACCCCCAATGTCCCCCCAGGACCCCCATTTCCCCCCCAGGACCCACCAAGACCCCCCCAGGACCCCCCATGGCCCCCCAGGAACCCCCATTTCCCCCCCAGGACCCCCAATGTCCCACCATGACCCCACAGAACCCCACTTTTTCCCCCCATTATCCCCCCAGGATGCCCCCAAGATCCCCCTTAAGCCCCCCAAGACCCTCCCAGGACCCCCAATGTCCCCCCAGGACCCTCCCAGAACTCCCCCCGGACCCTCCAAGATGCCCCCAGGACCCCCAATGTCCCACCAGGACCCCAAACGTCCCCCCAAGACCCCCGTCCCCCGTCCCTACAGGACACCCCATGACCCCCCCAGGAACCCCCATAAGACCCCCAAGGCACCCCCAGGACCCCCAATGTCCCCCCAGGACCCTCCCAGAACTCCCCATGGCCCCCCAAGACCCTCCCAGGACCCCCAATGTCCCCCCAAAACCCCCGTCCCCCGTCCCTACAGGACACCCCAGGACCCCCCAGGAACCCCCATAAGACCCCCAAGACACTCCCCAGAACCCTCCAAGGCACCCCCAGGACCCCCAAAGTCCCCCCCAGGACCCCCAAAGTCCCCCCCAGGACCCCCCATGAGCCCCCCAGGAACCCCCAGGAACCCCCATAAGAGCCCCAAGACCCCTCCCAGGTCCTTCCAAGACCCTCCAAGGCACCTCCAGGACCCCCAATGTCCCCCCAAAACCCCCGTCCCCCGTCCCTACAGGACACCCCAGAACCCCCCAGGAACCTCCATAAGACCCCCAAGACACTCCCCAGAACCCTCCAAGGCACCCTCAGGACCCTCCCAGCACCCCCAAGACCCCCAATGTCCCTCCAAGAACCCTGAAGAGCCCCCCCAGGACCCCCAATGTTCCCCCAGGACCCCCGAAGTCCCCCCCAAGACCCCCAAAGTCTCCCCAGGACCCCCAATGTCCCCTCCAGGACCCCCAAAGTCCCCCCCAGGACCCCCAATGTCCCCCCAGGACCCTCCCAGCACCCCCAGGACCCCCAAAGTCCCCCCCAGGACCCTCCCAGCACCCCCAGGACCCCCAAAGTCCCCCCCTGGACCCCCAATGTCCCCTCCAGGACCCCCAAAGTCCCCCTCAGGACCCTCAATGTCCCCCCCAGGACCCCCCCAGCACCCCCAGGACCCCCAATGTCCCCTCCAGGACCCCCAATGTCCCCTCCAGGACCCCCAATGTTCCCCCAGGACCCCCAAAGTCCCCCCCAGGACCCCCAATGTCCCCTCCAGGACCCCCAATGTTCCCCCAGGACCCCCAAAGTCCCCCCCAGGACCCCCAAAGTCCCCCCCAGGACCCCCAATATCCCCTCCAGGACCCCCAATGTCCCCCCAGAACCCCCCAAGAGCACCCCATGACCCCCCAGGAACCCCCATAAGAGCCCCAAGACCCCTCCCAGGTCCTTCCAAGACCCTCCAAGGCACCCCCAGGACCCCTCGTGTCCCCCCAGGACCCTCCCAGAACTCCCCGTGACCCTCCAAGATGCCCCCAGGACCCCCAATGTCCCCCCAAATCCCCCGTCCCCACAGGACACCCCAGAACCCCCCAGGAACCCCCATAAGACCCCCAAGACACTCCCCAGAACCCTCCAAGGCAACCTCAGGACCCTCCCAGCACCCCCAAGACCCCCAAAGTCCCCCCAGGACCCCCAAAGTCCCCCCAGGACCCCCAAAGTCCCCCCAGGATCCTCCCAGCACCCCCAGGACCCCCAAAGTCCCCCCCAGGACTCCCAATGTCCCCTCCAGGACCCCCAAAGCCCCCCCAGGACCCCCAAAGCCCCCCCAGGACCCCCGCAGTGCCCCTCACGTGTGGCAGGCCCGCAGCTGGCGCAGGCTGGCGGGGCGGGCGGGCACGGGGCGGCAGCGCTGGGCGAGCCCCAACTCCTGCAGCCGCTGCAGCACGCGGGGCAGGCGCTGCGGGGCCTCGGGGTGCTGGCTGGGGAGAAAAACCCAAAATTACCCCAAAATCACCCCAAAATCACCCCAAACACCCGTGGGGCAGGCACTGCGGGGCCTCGGGGTGCTGGCTGCAAAACACCCAAAATTACCCAAAATCACCCCAAAATCACCCCAAAACCACCCCCAGGGCAGGCGCTGCGGGGCCTCGGGGTGCTGGCTGCAAAACACCCAAAAATGGCTGAAATTACCCCAAAAACAACCCCAAACACCCGCGGGGCAGGCGCTGCAGGGCCTCGGGGTGCTGGCTGGGAAAAAACACCCCAAAATTACCCCAAAATCACCCCAAAATAACCCCCAAACACCCCCGGGGCAGGCGCTGCGGGGCCTCGGGGTGCTGGCTGGGGAAAAACAACCCAAAATTACCCCAAAATCACCCCAAAATAACCCCCGAACACCTGCGGGGCAGGCGCTGCGGGGCCTCGGGGTGCTGGCTGGGAAAAAACACCCAAAATTACCCCAAAACCACCCCAAAATCACCCCCAAACACCCCCAGGGCAGGCGCTGCGGGGCCTCGGGGTGCTGGCTGCAAAACACCCAAAAACGGCCAGAATTACCCCAAAATCAACCCCAAAATCACCCCCAAACACCCCCAGGGCAGGCGCTGCGGGGCCTCGGGGTGCTGGCTGGGGAGAAAACACGCAAAATTACCCCAAAATCACCCCCAAAATAACCCCAAACACCCACGGGGCAGGCGCTGCGGGGCCTCGGGGTGCTGGCTGGGGAAAAAACACCCAAAATCACCCCAAAATCACCCCAAACACCCCCAGGGCAGGCGCTGCGGGGCCTCGGGGTGCTGGCTGCAAAACACCCAAAATTATCCCAAAATTACCCCAAAATCACCCCAAAATCACCCCAAACACCCACGGGGCAGGCGCTGCGGGGCCTCGGGGTGCTGGCTGGAAAACACCCAAAAACGGCTGGAATTACCCCAAAATCAACCCCAAAACCACCCCAAAACTACCCCCTAAACCACTCCAAAATAACCCCAAAATCATCCCAAAATAACCCCAAAGTCACCCCAAAATAACCCCAAAATCACCCCAAAATAACCCCAAAATAATCCCCAAAAACACCCCAAAATCACCCCTAAAATCACCCCAAAATAACCCCAAAGTCACCCCAAAATAACCCCCAAAATCACCCCAAAATAACCCCAAAATAATCCCCAAAAACACCCCAAAATCACCCCTAAAATCACCCCAAAATAACCCCAAAGTCACCCCAAAATAACCCCCAAAATCACCCCAAAATAACCCCCAGGGCAGGCGCTGCGGGGCCTCAGGGTGCTGGCTGGGGAAAAACACCCAAAACCAGCCGGAATCACCCCAAAATCAACCCCAAAATCACCCCTAAACCACCCCAAAACTACCCCCTAAACCATTCCAAAATAACCCCAAAATCACCCCCAAAAACACCCCCAAATCACCCCTAAAATAACCCCAAAAACACCCCAAAATAACCCCAAACACCCGCGGGGCAGGCGCTGCAGGGCCTCGGGGTGCTGGCTGGGGAGAAACACCCAAAAACGGCCGGAATTACCCCAAAATCAACCCCAAAATAACCCCAAAGTCACCCCAAAATAACCCCAAAGTCACCCCAAAATAACCCCAAAGTTACCCCAAAATAAGCCCAAAATCAACCCCAAAATAAGCCCAAAATCAACCCCAAAATAACCCCAAAAGCACCCCAAAACCACCCCCAAAATCACTGCCAAAATCATCCCAAAATAACCACCAAAATCACCCCTAAATAACCCCAAAAACGACCCCAAATGACCCAGAAATAACCCCAAAATAACCCCCAAATCACCCCAAAATCACCCCAAAACCACCCTCAGGACAGGTGTCCCAGCCCCTCCCTCACCTGTCCAGGTGTCCCTGAGGGTTTTAGGGTGCCCCTCACCTGTCCCCGATGTTTTTGGGGTGCCCTCACCTGTCCCAGGTGTCCCAGAGGATTTTGGGGTGCCCTCACCTGTCCCAAAGGCGTTTTTTGGGGTGCCCTCACCTGTCCCCGATGGTTTTTGGGGTGCCCTCACCTGTCCCAGAAGGTTTTGGGGTGCCCCTCACCTGTCCAGGTGTCCCTGAGGGTTTTAGGGTGCCCCTCACCTGTCCCAGAGGGTTTTGGGGTGCCCTCACCTGTCCCAGGGGGTTTTGGGGTGCCCTCACCTGTCCCAGAGGGTTTTAGGGTGCCCCTCACCTGTCCCTGAGGGTTTTAGGGTGCCCCTCACCTGTCCCAGAGGGTTTTGGGGTGCCCTCACCTGTCCCAGGGGGTTTTGGGGTGCCCTCACCTGTCCCAGAGGGTTTTGGGGTGCCCTCACCTGTCCCAGGGGGTTTTGGGGTGCCCTCACCTGTCCCAGGTGTTTTTGGGGTGTTTTTGGGGTGCCCTCACCTGTCCCAGGTGTTGCGGTGCTCCTCCATGCGGGGGTCGTACACCAGCCCCACCCGCGCTGTGCCGGGGGGCTCCGGGGGGCTCCCCCCAACCTCCTCTTCCTCCTCCTCTTCCTCATCCTCCTCGTCCTCCTCCTCCGCTTCCGCCTCTTCTGCCTCTTCTTCATCCTCCTCTTCCTCCTCTTCCTCATCTTCCTCCTCTGTCTCTGTGGGGGAAGGGGATCCTCAGGGGGGCCCCCCCAAATTCGGCCCCCCCCAACCCTGGGGGGCTCCCCGAGACCGTTCTGGGGGTCCTGAGGGGTTTTTGGGGGGTCTGGGGTTTTTTGGGGCAGGTTTGGGGTGTCTGGGGGGCGGTTTTGGGGTGACTGGGGGAGGTTTGGGGCATCTGGGGTTTTTGGGGGGTGGTTGTGGGGGTTTTTGGGGTGTCTGGGGTTTTTTAGGGGGTGGTTTTGGGGTGACTGGGGGGGGTTTGGGGTTTTTGGGGGGCGGTTTTGGGGTGTCCGGGGGGGTTGGGGTTCTTGGGGGGCAGTTGTCGGGGTTTTTGGGGTGTCTGAGGTTTTTTGGGGCAGGTTAGGAGTGACTGGGGGGGTGTTTCGGGGGGCAGTTTTGGGATGCCCAGGGGAGTTTTTGGGGGGCAGTTTTGGGTGACTGAGGAGGTTTTGAGGTGACCGGGGGGGTTTTGGGTTTTTGGGAGGCAGTTTTGGGGTGATTGGGGGGTTTTTTGGGGGGTGGTTTTGGGGTGACCGGGGGGGTTTGGGGGGCAGTTTTGGGGTGACCAGGGGATTTTTGAGGGGCAGTTTTGGGACGCCCAAGGGGAGTTTTGGGGTTTTTGGGGTGACCGGGGAGTTTTTGGGGGGCAGTTTTGGCATGCCCAGGGGAGTTTTGGGGTTTTTGGGGTGACCGGGGGGTTTTTGGGGGCAGTTTTGGGGTCCCTGAGAGAAACCAAGATGGCGGCGAGCCAATATGGCGCCCTAGCAACCGAGCTGACTCCTTAGCAACGGGGCCTAGCGCACCCCCCGAAGCCCGCGCTCAGTTTTTGGGGGGTTCAAAGTGCTCCCCCCCCATGGGATTTCGGGGTCCCCCCCTCGGAATTTCGGGGTCCCCCCTCACCGAAGCTCTGCAGGCAGCCCCAGAAGCGCTGGTGGACGCTCAGGGTGCGGGCAATGCTGGCCAGGCCGCTGGGGAGCATTAGGCTTTTGGGGGACTGGGGGCACCCCAAAACTGCCCCCAGCACCTCCCCCCGAGCTCCCAACCCCCCTGAACCCACAAATGCTCCCCCAAAATCCCCTCCAGCCCCCCAAACCCACCCAGGCCCCCCAAAACCCGCCAGAAACTCCCCCAGCACCCCAAAACCCCCCAGAGCCCCCCCCAGCCCCCCAAAATCCTCCCCTGTGACCCCCCCCAGTCCCCCAAAATCCTCACCTGGGGGTGGGGGTGAGGGGCCCGGGGGGGTCCCCGGGGTCCCCCAGCAGGGTCCTCAGCACGGCCCCCAAGCCCCCCGAGGACGCCCCCAAATCCGGGCCCCCCTGTGGAGAGGGGGGGTCAGGGGGAGCCACATGGCCCCCCAAAAACAAACAGCCCCCTAAAAACAGCCCCCCAAAAGAGCCACAAAAACAGCCCCCCAAAAAACATCCCCCGAAAACAACAGCCCCCAAAAACAAACAGCCCCCCATAAACAGCCCCAAAAACAAACAGCCACAAAAACAGCCCCCCAAAAACAGCCCCAAAAACAGCCCCCTAAAAACAGCCCCAAAAACAGCCCCAAAACAGCCCCCCAAAAAACAGCCCCCAAAAACAAACAGCCCTCCAAAAACAGCCCCCAAAACAGCCCCAAAAAACAGCCCCCCAAAACAAACAGCCCCCCAAAAACAGCCCCCCAAAACCAGCCACAAAAACAGCCCCCCAAAAAACATCCCCCAAAAACAAACAGCCCCAAAAACAGCCCCCCAAAAAACATCCCCCAAAAACAAACAGCCACAAAAACAGCCTCCCAAAACAGCCCCCCAAAACCAGGCCCCAAAAACAGCCGCTATAGGCTCCATCCCCTACATCCCCTATATCCCCTGTATCCCCTATAGCCCCCCCACCCCACAGCCCCCATACCCCTTACAGCCCCTATACATCCCCTATATAAACCCTGTATCCCCCACACCCCCATATCCCCTATATATCCCCCACATCCCCTATATGTCCCCCACATCCCCTATATGTCCCCCACATCCCCTATATACCCCCACACCCCTCTATCCATCGTACCCCCGACATTCCCCATACATCCCCTATGGATCCCTATACCCCCACGTACCCTATGGATGCCCTATAGATCCCCTATGTCACCCACACCCCCCACATCCCCTATAGATCCACTCGAGCCCACACCCCCCCCATATCCCCCTATAGATCCCCTACAGACCTCCTACAGATCCCCTATGGATCCCCCATATCCCCTCTAGCCCCTATACATCTGCTCTATTCCCCAGACCCCTCTATTCCCTATAGATCCCCTATAGATCCCCTGTATCACCTATACCCCCCATATCCCCTCTATCCCCTATAGATTTCCTATAGATCCCCCACAGATCCCACATATCCCTCACACGGCTCTATCCCCTACAGATCCCCTATAGCTGCCCTATACCCCCACACCCCTCTAACCCCTATTGATCCCCTATAGATCCCCCACAGATCCCCCACACCCCTCTATCCCCTATAGATCCCCTACAGACCTCCTACAGACCCCCCACAGATCCCCCATGGATCCCCTATAGATCCCCTATTGATATCCCACAGATCTCCTACAGATCCCTATAGATCCCCCATGGATCCCCCACAGATGCCCCACAGATCTCCTATAGATCCCCTAGAGATACCCCCATAGATCCCCTATAGATGCTCCACAGATTGCCCATAGATCCCCCACAGATCCCCCACAGATCCCCTACTATAGATGCCCCCACAGATCCCCTATAGATCCCCCATAGATCCCCCCATAGATCCCCCACAGATTCCCCCCCAGATCCCCTATGGATCCTTATAGATCCCTATGGATCCCCTGTATCAGATATATCCCCCAGATCCCCCCCAGATCCCCCATGGATCCCCTATGGATCCCCTATAGATCCCTATGGACCCCTATGGATCCCCCATAGATCCCCTATAGATCACCCGTGGATCCCCCATAGATCCCCTATAGATCCCCTATAGATCCCCGTGGATCCCTCACCTGCAGCAGCATCAGGAGCCGCCCCCGGGCCAGAGCGGAGAGGAGATGGGTGAGGAGAGAGAGCGCGGGGGGGGAGGGGCAGCCCTGGGGGCACAGAGACCCTATAGAGACCCTATAGACACCCCATAGACACCCCATAGACACCCCATGGACACCCCATAGACACGCTATAGGGACCCCATGGACACCCCATAGAGAGCGCGGGGGGGAGGGGCAGCCCTGGGGGCAGAGATACCCCATAGATACCCCATAGACACCCTATAGGGACCCTATAGACACCCTATAGACACCCTATAGAGACCCTATAGACACCCTATAGAGACCCTATAGACACCCCATAGATACCCTATAGACACCCCATGGACACCCCATAGAGAGCGCGGGGGGGGAGGGACAGCCCTGGGGGCAGAGATACCCTATAGACACCCTATAGAGACCCTATAGGGACCCTATAGACACCCTATAGACGCCCCATAGAGAGCCCATAAACACCCCATAGACACCCTATGGACACCCCATACACACCCTATGGACACCCCATAGACACCCCATAGAGAGCGCGGGGGGGAAGGGCAGCCCTGGGGGCACACACACCCCATAGACACCCTATAGGGACCCTATAGACACCCCATAGACACCCCATAGGGACCCTATAGACACCCCATGGACACCCCATGGACACCCTATAGGGACCCTATGGACACCCTATAGAGAGCCTATAGACCCCATAGACCCATAGGGACCCATAGAGACCCCATAGAGACCCCATGGAGACCCCATAGAGGCCCATAGAGACCCATAAAGACCCATAGAGACCCATAGAGACCCCATAAAGACCCATAGAGACCCCATAGACCCCATAGAGACCCCATAGAGACTCCATAGAGACCCCATAGAGACCCCACAGACCCCATAGACCCCCCAGAGCCCCCCCAGCCCCCCCCGTACCCCCAAATCCTCCAGCGAGGCCTCGACCAGGACGAGCTGGGGCTGGAACTGGGGGGACAGAACGGGGTCAGGGGGTGGGACCCCAAACCCACAGGGACCCCAAACCCACAGGGACCCCAAACCCTCACAGGGACCCCAAACCCACAGGGACCCCAAAACCTCACAGGGACCCCAAACCCACACAGGGACCCCAAACCCCCACAGGGACCCCAAAACCTCACAGGGACCCCAAACCCACAGGGACCCCAAACCCACAGGGACCCCAAACCCCCCTTGTGACCCCAAACCCCAAACCCAAACCCCAAACCCAAACCCCAAACCCCAAACCCAAACCCCAAACCCCAATCCCCAAATCCCCCAACCCCAAACCCAAACCCCAAATCCCCCAACCCCAAACCCCAAACCCAAACCCCAAACCCCAAACCCAAACCCCGAACCCCAAACCCCAAACCCAAACCCCAAACCCCAAACCCAAACCCCACACCCCAAACCCCAAACCCAAACCCCAAACCCCAAACCCCAAACCCAAACCCCAAACCCCAAACCCCAAACCCCCCTGGTGACCCCAAACCCAAACCCCAAACCCCAAACCCAAACCCCAAACCCACACCCACCTGGAGGCCGATGGGCAGCAGGAGGTTGAAGGCGGCGGCCGCGTGGTCGCCATCGGTGACAGCGGCCTGGGGACAGCCTCACCCTATAGAACCTGGGGCCCTATAGAGCCCCGGGGCCCTATAGAACCCTACAGAGCCCCGGGGATCCTATGGACCCCTATAGATCCCCTACAACCGCCCCCCCGCTTCTATAGAGCCAACACCACCCCAGAGCTCCCGCGTTCCCGACAGCCCCCCGCCCCTATAGGCCCCTATAGGCCCCCTGCCCCTATAGGCCCCCCGGCCCTATAGTCCCCTATAGGCCCCCCACCCCAGCAGTCCCATATAGGCCCCCTGCCCCTACAATCCCCTACAGGTCCCCCTGCCCCTGTAGACCCATATAGACCCCCCGACCCCTATAGCTCCCCTGCCCCTATAGGCCCCCCTCCCTCTGCCCCCCCTGCCCCTATAGTCCCTTAAAGGGCCGCCTACAACTTCCTACAGCCCCCCCCAGTCCCTATAGCCCCTATATCCTCTACAGCCCCCCCAGTCCCTATAGCCCCTATATCCTCTACAGCCCCCCCCAGTCCCTATAGCCCCTATAGCCTCTACAGCCCCCCCAGTCCCTATAGCCCCTATATCCTCTACAGCCCCCGGACCCCTACAGCCCCTATAGCCTCTACAGCCCCCCCAGTCCCTATAGCCCCTATATCCTCTGCAGCCCCCCCAGTCCCTACAGCCCCTATATCCTCTACAGCCCCCGGACCCCTACAGCTCCTCCCTGTACCCTGTGTGCCCTATACAGCCCAGCCCCTATAGCCCTGCAGCCCCTATAGACCCTATAGCTGCCCCTATATCTGCCCCTATAGCCCTGCAACCCCTACATCCCCTATAGCCCCATAACCCCTACACCCCCTATAGCCCCACAACCCCTACATCCCGTGCATCTGCCCCTATAGCCCTGTGACCCGGCCCCACAGATCCCCCATAGATCCCCCACAGAGCCCCTATAGATCCCCCACGGATCCCCCACAGATCCCCTATTGATCCCCCACAGATCCCCTATAGATCCCCCACAGATCCCCTATAGATCCCCAATAGTTCCCCACAGATCCCCTATAGATCCCCCATAGATCTCCTATAGATCCCCTACAGATCCCATATAGATCCCCTATGGATCCCCTATAGATCCCCCACAGATCCCCTATAGTTCCCCACAGATCCCCTGTGGATCCCCCACAGATCCCCTATAGATCCCCCACAGATCCCCTATAGATCCCCTACAGATCCCATATAGATCCCCTATGGATCCCCTATAGATCCCCCACGGATCCCCCATAGATCCCCTATAGTTCCCCACAGATCCCCTGTGGATCCCCCACAGATCCCCTATAGATCTCCTGTGGATCCCCTATAGATCCCCACGTATCCCCTATAGATCCCCTATAGATTCCCCCACAGATCCCCTATAGATCCCCTATAGATCCCCCATAGATCCCCCCTATAGATGCCCCGTACCTGCTCCCAGCGCAGCTCCACGCTGAATCCCCGCCCGGGGCCCCGCCCGGCGCTGGGGGGCGGCTCCAGACCCCGCTGAGCCCCAAAGTACAGCACACTGTGGGGGGGACCAGTATAAACCAGTATGGACCAGTATAAACCAGTATAGACCAGTACAGCATGCTATGGGACCAGTATAAACCAGTATGGACCAGTATAAACCAGTACAGCATGCTGCGGGACCAGTATAAACCAGTATGGACCAGTATGGACCAGTATAGACCAGTATGGACCAGTATAAACCAGTATAAACCAGTATATACCAGTACAGCACGCTGCGGGAGGGACCAGTATGGACCAGTATGGACCAGTATGGACCAGTACGGACCAGTATAAACCAGTATAGACCAGTATAAACCAGTACAGCACGCTGTGGGACCAGTACGGACCAGTATGGACCAGTATAACCCAGTATATACCAGTATGGACCAGTATGGACTAGTATGGACCGGTACGGACCAGTATGGACTGGTACAGACCAGTATGGGCCAGTATGGCCCAGTGCCTCCCAGTAAGGCTCCCAGTACGTCCCAGTATCACTCCCAGTACACCCCAGTACACCCCAGTACATCCCAGTCCATCCCAGTACATCCCAGTATCACTCCCAGTACATCCCAGTACGTCCCAGTACGTCCCAGTATCCCCAGTACCCACCTGGGGTCCTCCAGGAAGATTTGGGGCAGGTCCCGCCCGGGCCGGGAGTTCCAGTCCACGATCAGAACCCTGAGGGGGAGGGCTGGGCTGACCCAAAAACACCAAAAACTGCCCAAAAACTGCCCAAAAACCACCCCAAAAACACCCAGAAACACCCAAACACACCCAAACACACCCAGAAACACCCAGAAACAGCCCAAAACCAGCCCAAAACACCCAAAACCACCCAGAAACCACCCAAAACACCCAAAACCACCCAAAACCAGCCAAAACCACCCAAAAACAGCCAAAAACAGCCCAAAACAGCACAACCAGCCCCAAAACAATCCAAAACACCCAAAAAACACCAAAAACAGCCCAAAACCACCAAAAACACCCAAAAAACCCACCAAAACACCTCAAAACACCCCAAATCCCCCCAAACCCCCCAAAAACCCCAACCCAGCCCAAAAAGGGGCCCGGGGCACCCCGAGACCCCCCAAACCCCCTCAGCCCACCCAAAAAGGGACCCAAGGCCCGGGGCTGCCAGGACCCCCCACCAATGGGTGCCCCCCTCCTGCTCTCACCGCTGCACCCCTGGGCGCCCCCCACCCCCGGGTGCCCCACCCCCACCCATGGGTGCCCCGTTGCTCTCACTGCTGCACCCCTGGGTGCCCCCCCCCCACCCCTGGGTGCCCCCCCCACCCCTGGGTGCCCCCCCCCACCCCTGGGTGCCCCCCCCACCCCTGGGTGCCCCCCCACCCCTGGGTGCCCCACCCCCACCCCTGGGTGCCCCCCCCCACCCATGGGTGCCACCCCCGCTCTCACCGCTGCACCCCCGGGTGCCATCCCCCTACCCATGGGTGCCCCCCACCCCTGGGTGCCCCCCCCCCCCACCCCTGGGTGCCCCCCCACCCATGGGTGCCCCTCTCTCTCACCGCTGCACCCCGAGCCGTTTCTGCGCCACCCGGGCGGCCACAGCCGCGGGCTGGGGGGGGGGCCTGGGGGTCCTGGGGGCTGCGGGGGATGGGAGAGACCCTATGGATCTGTATGGGATCCTATGGGACCCTATGGATCTATATGGGACCCTATGGGATCCCATGGAACCCTATGGATCCATACGGGACCCTATGGGATCCTATGGGTCTATACGGGACCCTATAGATATCCATATGGGACCCTATGGGATCCTAAGGGATCCTATGGATCTATATGGGACCCGATGGGATCCTATGGATCTATATGGGACCCTATGGAACCCTATGGATCCTACGGAACCCTATGGATCCATATGGGACCCTATGGGATCCTATGGAACGCTATGGATCCATATGGGACCCACAGACCCTATGGATCTATATGGATCTATATGGGACACTATATAGCCCTATAGAACCCCACAGACCCCATATGGACCCCCCAAACCTCCCATACCCCAATATCCCCCCGTACCCCAATATCCCCCACACCCCAATATCCCCCCCCGTACCCCAATATCCCCCCACACCCCAATATCCCCCCGCACCCCAATATCTCCCCCCGTACCCCAATATCCCCCCGTACCCCAATATCCCCCCGTACCCCAATATCCCCCCCCGTACCCCAATATCCCCCCGTACCCCAATATCCCCCTGTACCCCAATATCCCCCCGCACCCCAATATCCCCCCCCCACACCCCAAATTCCCCCCCCGTACCCCAAAATCCCGTACCTGAGCAGGGCCACCCCGTTGCGCAGGGCCCCCCCCAGAACCTCCTCCAGCAGCGCCAGCGCCGCCCCCACGGCCCCGCGGGGACCCCGAAATCCCTGCGGCACCCCAACATCAGGGGGGACCCCAAAACCGGGCAGGGGACCCCAAAATGGGGCAGGGGACCCCCAAACCCCAAAAAGACAGGGAAAAGAGACCCCAAAAAAAAGGGACACGAAACGCCCAAGGGGGACCCCAAAACCCCTATGAGGGGAACCCAGAACTGGGGGGGACCCCAAAACCCCCCCAGGGGGGGAACCCCAAAATCAGGAGGACCCCAAAATGGGGCAGGGGACCCCAAAACCTCAAAAAGAGGAGAAAAGAGACCCCAAAAAAAGGGACGCGAATTACCCGGGGGGGACCCCAAAACCTCCATGAGGGGAACCCAGAATTGAGGGGGGAACCCCAAATCCCCTGGGAGCACCCCAAAATCAGGGGGACCCCAAAATGGGGCAGGGAACCCCAAAACCCCAAAAAGAGGGGAAAAAAAGACCCCAAAAAAAAGGGACACAAAAGGCCCGGGGGGGACCCCAAAACCCCCATGAGGGGAACCCGGAACTGGGGGGGACCCCAAAACCCCCCCAGGGGGGAACCCCAAAATCAGGAGGACCCCAAAATGGGGCAGGGGACCCCCAAAATGGGGCAGGGAACCCCCAAAACCCCAAAAAGAGGGGGAAAAGAAGACCCCAAAAAAAGGGATCTGAAATGCCTGGGGGGGACCCCAAAACCTCCCCAGAGGGAAACTGGAATTGAGGGGGGAACCCCAAATCCCCTGGGGGCACCCCAAAATCAGGGGGGACCCCAAAATCGGGGGGGGGGGCCCAAAACGGGGCAGGGGACCCCAAAAAGGGGGAAGGGAAGGGGAAGAAAGAGCCCAAAAAAAGGGACCCGAAATGCCCGGGGGGGACCCCAAAACCCCCAAGGGGGGAACCCGGAACTGGGGGGACCCCAAATCCCACAGGGAGACCCCAAAACCCCCTCACCAAGGACCCAGAGGCAGGGGGACCCCAAAACCCCATGGAGGAACCCCCAAAACCCCCCCAGGGATCCCCCAGGGGTCTGGGGGGACCCCAAAACCCCCAGTGGGACCCCAAACCCTCCCCAGGGATTTTGGGGACCCCCCCCCCGGGATTTGGGGGTGCTCACCGGGCCGGGGCTGTCGGGGGGCTCCAGCTGTGCCACAAACGAGGGGCTGGGGGGGGACCCCAAAACCTCCCTGAGGGGCAGCCCGGGGGTCCCCGGAGCCCCCCAAAACCTCGGGGGACCCCCGGGGCTCCCCAGCCTCCCACCAGGACCCCCCAAACCCTTCTGGCCCCCCCCAACCCTTCAGGACCCCCCAAACCCTTCAGGACCCCCCAAACCCTTCAGGACCCCCCAAACCCTTCTGGGCCCCCCCAAAACCCTTCAGGACCCCCCAAACTGTTCAGAGCCCCCCAAACACTTCAGGGCCCCCCCAAACCCTTCAGGGCCCCCCCCCAACCCCACAGAGATCCCCCCAAATCCTACAGGGAGTCCCTCAAAACCCCCCTGCTGCTCCCCAAATCCCCCAAAAACCCCCCAAAACCCCCCGAATTCCACCCCAAACCCCCCCTATATCCCCCCCATACCCCTCAGGGCTCCCCCAAATCAGAGCCCCCCAAAACCCCCCAGATCCCCCCCAAATTCCCCTGAAATCCACCCAAAATCTCCCCCAAATTCCCAAATCCTTCCCAAATCCCCCCCAAATCCACCCCAAATTCCCTCCGAAATCCCCCCAAAATCCACCCCAAAATCCACCTATATCCCCCCCCAGACCCCTCAGGGCTCCCCCAAATCAGAGCCCCCCAAAACCCCCCAGATTCCCCCCAAATTCACCCCAAATCCCCCCAAAACCCCCCCTAAATCCTCCCCCAGACCCCTCAGGGCTCCCCCAAATCAGAGTCCCCCAAAACCCCCCCAGATCCCCCCCAAATTCACCCCAAATCCCCCCGAAATCCACCCAAAATCCACAAAGAAAAACCCCAAACTCCCACCAAAAACCCCCATAAATCCCTCCCAAATCCCCCCCAAAACCCCCCTAAATCCTCTCCCAGACCCCTCAGGGCTCCCCCAAATCAGAGCCCCCCCAAAACCCCCCAGATCCCCCCCAAATTCACCCCAAATTCACCCCAAATTCCCCCAAAATCCACCCATAATCCACAAAAAAAAAAACAACCCCAAATCCCCCCAAAAATCCCCATAAATCCCCCTCAAATCCCCCCCAAATCCACCCCAAATCCCCCCCAAAACACCCCAAAATCCCCCAAAACCCCCCAAAAATCCCCCCAACCCCCCCGCCCCCACCTGTGCACCAGCAGCAGCTCCTCGTCACTGGCCGGGCGACACTGGGGGGGAACGGGGACATCAGGGGGGTCCCCAAAATCCCGGGGGGTCCCCAAAATCCCGGGGGGGGTCCCCAAACTCTGCAGGGACTCCAGGACAGGAGGGGACCCCGAATTTGGGGGGCTCACCTTGACGGGGACGCAGCGCTGGAGCAGCTCCTGCAGGGCCGGACCCCCGCGGGGGCTGCGGCACCCCAAAAAGGGTCAGGGGCACCCCAAAAACTCCACAGGGACCCCAAAAACGGTCAGGGGGGACCCCAAAAACCCCACGGGGACCCCAAAGGTCACGGGGGACCCCAAAAACCCCACGGGGACCCCAAAAACCCCACGGGGACCCCAAAGGTGAGGGGGGACCCCAAAAGTGAGGGGGGACCCCAAAAGGGCTCCGCGGGGATTTGGGGTTCGGGGATTTGGGGCACTGGGGGGATTTGGGGGTTTGGGGCTCTGGAGGATTTTGGGATTTGGGGTCTCGGGGAACCCTGGGGGATTTGGGGGGTTTGGGGTTTTGGGGGTTCTGAGGGGATTTGGGGGTTTTGGGGGGGGTTTGGGGATTTGGGGTTTGGGTTTTTGGGGCAGTTTTGGGGGGGTTTGGGTTTTTGAGGGGGTTTGGGTTTTTGGGGGGGTTTGGGGTTTGGGGGGGTTTGGGGGGTTTTGGGGCTCCAGGGGATTTGGGGTTTGGGGGGATTTGGGTTTGGGGTTCTGGGGGGTTTTGGTTTTTGGGGGGGTTTGGGGATTTGGGGTTTGGGTTTTTGGGGCGGTTTTGGGGGGGTTTGGGTTTTTGGGGGGGGTTTGGGGATTTGGGTTTTGGGGTCCGTACCCGCCGTCCCCGTGCCCTCCATCGCTGACCAGGCCCGTCCCGGTGGGGGCGGCGCCCTCGGGCCCCAAATCCTGCTCGAGGGATGGGGGGGGGGGGACATCGGGGTCTGGGGGGGTCCCGGGACACCCCGAAACCCACAACAGCCCCCCCACCCCAAAGGGACACCCCAAAGGGACCCCGAGCCCCCAGACCCCATTTGTGGGGAGCCTCCAGACCCATTTTTGGGGACCCCTCAAACCCCATTATTGGGACCCCCCCCAGAACCCATTTTTGGGGACCCCCACACCCATTTTTGGGGACCACCCAGACCCCATTTTTGCGGACCCCACAGACCCATTTTTGGGGACCCCTAAACCACATTTTTGGGGACCCCCCCAGACCCATTTTTGGGGACCCCCAGACCCATTTTTGGGGACCCCCAGACCCCACTTTTGGTGACCCCGACACCCATTTTTGGGGACCCCCCAGACCCCATTTTTGAGGACCCCCCAGACCCATTTTTGGGGACCCCTAAACCACATTTTTGGGGACCCCCAGACCCCATTTCTGGGACCCCCCCCAGAACCCATTTTTGGAGACCCCCCCAAACCCCATTATTGGAGACCCCCACACCCATTTTTGGGGACCCCCACACCCATTTTTGGGTACCCCCCCCCCCATTACCAGCTGCTGTAGCTCCGCCTCCAGCCCCGCCCTCCGGCGCCGCGCGCGGCCCTGGGCGGAGCCACGGTCAGCCACGCCCACCGAGGCCACGCCCACACGCGCTGATAGCCACTCCCACCGACCACACCCATCCTAACCCCGCCCACAGCCCGAGGCCACGCCCCTCCATCAGTACAATGGCAGGCGGAGCCAGCAAAGCCACGCCCACTCCCAACAGACCACGCCCACTCCCAACAGACCACGCCCACCCCGCCGGTTTGGGCGTGGCCGTGAGACCCCGCCCACTCCGAAGCTCCGCCCCTCGCCACGCCCCGTTGTGTTTCGGGGGCGGGGCGGGGCTCCGACCACACCCCACAAAGCCACGCCACTCAGGCCACGCCCCCTTTCTGACCACGCCCCTCTCACCATGGCAGCCGGGGGGGCTCGAGCGGCGCGCGGGGGCCTGGGGGGGGACACGGGTCAGGGACAGGGGGGGGACAGAGGGGATAGCGGGGGGACACGGGGCGGTACACCGGGGCGGGACAGGGGTTTGGGGACACCGGAGACGGGGGGCGACACCGGGGGGACAGTGAGGGGACACCGGAGGACACGGGTTTGGGGACAGCGGGGGGAGATACCGGGGCGGGATAAGGGTTAAGGGACACCGGGGGACAGTGAGGGGTCAGCGGGGGACAATGGCGGGATACCGGGGACCGGGGGGACAGCGGGGGGAGAGTGGGGGGGACACCGGGGGGACAGTGGATTGGGGACACCGGGGGACCGGGGTTTGGGGATACCGGGGTTTGGGGACACCGGGGTTTGGGGACACCGGGGTTTGGGGACACCGGGGGACAGAGGATTTGGGGTACCGGGGTACCGGGGTTTGGGGATACCGGGGGACAGAGGGGACAGAGGGGCGGGGCCGGGCGGGAAACAATCGGGGCTGGAGGGAGCGCGGGGAGCAGCGCCGGGAGCTCCACGGGCAGGGGAGGGAGCGGGGCCGGGGGGTCCCGGAGGGTCCCGGGGGTTTCGGGGGTTCGGGGGTCCCGGGGGGTTCGGGAGGTTCGGGGGTCCCGGAGCCGCCCCGCTCACCTGCAGCCCCACGCGACGCTGGCGCGAGGCGCGCCGTGATGACGTCACGGGCCAGGAGCGAGGCTAAAGGGGCGGGGCCACGGGGAGGGGGCGTGGCCCGGCCGTGACCGGGGCGTGGCGCCGCCAATCGCGGGGCGGGGCTTAAAAGGGCGGGGCTCACTGGGGGCGTGGTCTAATGAGAGGGGCGGGGCCGCCGCTTTACGGTCGGCATGGCGCTCATGGGGGACGCCATGTTGGGTGCGCTATGGGGGCCGCCATGTTGGGTGCGCTCATGGAGGTGCCATGTTGGGTGCGCTCATGGGGGCTGCCATGTTGGGTGAGCTCATGGGGGCCGCCATATTGGGTGCTCACGGGGGCCGCCATGTTGGGTGCGCTCACGGGGGCTGCCATGTTGGGTGTGCTCACGGAGGCCGCCATGTTGGGTGTGCCATGATGGCTGCCATGTTGGGTGAGCTATGGGGGCCGCCATGTTGGGTGCGCTCATGAGGCCGCCATGTTGGGTGTGCTCATGGGGGGCGCCATGTTGGGTGTGCCATGATGGCTGCCATGTTGGGTGAGCTATGGGGGCCGCCATGTTGGGTGCGCTCATGGCCGCCATGTTGGGTGTGCCATGATGGCCGCCATGTTGGGTGTGCCATGATGGCCGCCATGTTGGGTGCGCTCATGGGGGTCGCCATGTTGAGAGTGCTCATGGGGGCCGCCATGTTGAGAGTGCTCATGGGGGTCGCCATGTTCGGTGCGCTCATGGAGCTGCCATGTTGGGAGCGCTCCCGGAGGCCACCATGTTGGGTGTGCCATGATGGCTGCCATGTTGGGTGTGCTCATGGAGGTGCCATGTTGGGTGTGCTCACGGAGGCCGCCATGTTGGGTGCGCTCATGGGGCTGCCATGTTGGATGTGCCATGATGGCCGCCATATTGGGTGTGCCATGATGGCCGCCATGTTGGGTGCGCTCATGGGGCCGCCATGTTGGGTGTGCTCACAGAGCTGCCATGTTGGATGTGCCATGATGGCTGCCATATTGGGTGTGCCATGATGGCCGCCATGTTGGGTGCGCTCACGTAGGCCGCCATGTTGGGTGTGCTCATGGGGCCGCCATTTTGGGTGCTCATGGGGCCGCCATGTTGGGTGTGCCATGATGGCCGCCATGTTGGGTGTGCTCATGGGGGGCGCCATGTTGGGTGCGCCATGACAGTCGCCATGCTGGGTGTGCCCCACGAAGCCGCCATCTTGGTACCAACCACCCGACGTCCACGGTGGGGGAGCACCTTTAATTGGGATGTTCGTGGCTCCCCCCAACACCGCCCCCACCCCGCAGGGGGGCTCAACCCCCCAGTGCCCCCCGTCCCCGTGCACCCCAAGAAGGAGGCGTGAGCCGGCTGCGTGCGGTTCCGGGCTGTTCTGGGCCCCTCAGAGCTGCGGGCTCAGCCCGGGGGGCGCCGCGAAGTCGCCCCCCAGGAAAGGCCCGGCGGGGGTGGGGGGGAAGGGCAGCAGGTGCCCGGACAGGACGAGCGGCCCGAGGGCGAAGAGCGCGGCCGGGTCCTCGGGGGGGGGCTGGGGGGGCGCGGGGGGGGGGGCAGGGGGGGCCCCGCCGAGGTTTCGGGGACCCCCCCAGGGCCGGCGCCCCCCCCTTGGCGCCGCTTCTTGCCCTTGGCCGAGACCTTGCGGTTGCGGGTCTGGATCCCGTCCTTGCGCATCGTCAGCGGGCGGTTCACCTGCGGGAATCGGGGTTCAGGGGAATTGGGGTTCACCTGCGGGAATCGGGGTTCACCTGCGGGAATCGGGGTTCAGGGGAATTGGGGTTCACCTGCGGGAATCGGGGTTCAGGGGATTGGGGTTCACCTGCAGGAATCGGGGTTCAGGGGATTGGGGTTCACCTGCAGGAATCGGGGTTCAGGGGGAGAATTGGGGTTCACCTGCAGGAATCGGGGTTCAGGGGAATTGGGGTTCACCTGCGGGAATCGGGGTTCAGGGGATTGGGGTTCACCTGCAGGAATCGGGGTTCAGAGGGGATTGGGGTTCAGGGGAATTGGGGTTCAGGGGGATCGGGGTTCACCTGCGGGAATCGGGGTTCAGGGGAATTGGGGTTCAGGGGAATTGGGGTTCACCTGTGGGAATCGGGGTTCAGGGGGAGTCGGGGTTCAGGGGGGGAATCGGGGTTCAGGGGGAGAATTGGGGTTCAGGGGGAATCGGGGTTCAGAGGGGATCGGGGTTCAGGGGGGGAATCGGGGTTCACCTGCAGGAATTGGGGTTCAGGGGAATTGGGGTTCACCTGCGGGAATCGGGGTTCAGGGGGATTGGGGTTCAGGGGGATCGGGGTTCAGGGGGGAATCGGGGTTCACCTGCGGGAATCGGGGTTCAGGGGGGGAATCGGGGTTCAGGGGGAATCGGGGTTCACCTGCGGGAATCGGGGTTCAGGGGGAATCGGGGTTCAGGGGGAATTGGGGTTCAGGGGGATTGGGGTTCAGGGGGATTGGGGTTCACCTGTGGGAATTGGGGTTCAGGGGAATTGGGGTTCAGGGGGATTGGGGTTCACCTGTGGGAATTGGGGTTCAGGGGAATTGGGGTTCAGGGGAATTGGGGTTCACCTGTGGGAATTGGGGTTCAGGGGAATTGGGGTTCAGGGGGATTGGGGTTCACCTGTGGGAATTGGGGTTCAGGGGGGGAATCGGGGTTCAAGGGGAATTGGGGTTCACCTGGGGGGCACAAAAAGGGGGGGGTCCCCAAATGTGGGGTGGGTCCCCAAATCTGGGGTGGGTCCCCAAATCCTCGCGAGGTCCCCAAATCCGAGGGGGGTTCTAAAACTTGGGGGGTTCCCCAAATCCGGGGTGGGTCCCCAAATCCAGGGGAGGGGTCTGGACCCTCCCATAGACCCCACCCCAACCCCATCAGCGATGCACCCCAAAATTCATTCCCATTTGGTTTGGGGCGATTTGGGGACGTTTTGGGGTCCTTTAGGGAGACTTTGGGGATGTTTGGGGATATTTTGGGATATTTAGGGATATTTTGGTGATATTTTGGTGATATTTAGGGATATTTGGGGATATTTAGGGATATTTTGGTCATATTTAGGGATATTTAGGGATATTTTGGTGGTATTTTGGTGATATTGAGGGATGTTTAGGGATATTTGGGGATATTTAGGGATATTTTGGTGATATTTTGGTGATATTTAGGGATATTTTGGTATATTTAGGGATACTTTAGGGATATTTTGGGGTCCCTCACCCGGTCAGTTTGTAGTAGAACCCGCAGCCGCTGCAGACGCAGTTTGGGGTATTTTGGGGGTATTTTAGGGATATTTTTGGGATATTAGGGATATTTTTGGAATACTTTAGGGATACCAGGCGGGGGGTTTGGGTTTGGGGTGTCCTGGCCTTGTTTGGGGCGATTTGGGGACATTTTGGAGTTCTTTAGGGAGACTTTAGGGATGTTTGGGGATATTTTAGGGATATTTTTGGGATATTTTGGGGTGGTTTTGGGGTCCCTCGCCCGGTGCAGTTTGTAGTAGAGCCCGCAGGCGTTGCAGACAGGGTTTGGGGTATTTTGGGGATATTTAGGGATATTTTAAGGATATTTTAGGATACTTTAGGGATATTTTGGGGCGGTTTTTGGGGTCCCTCACCCGGTGCAGTTGCAGGCGTTGCAGATGGGGTTTGTGGATATTTTCCTGATATTTAACGATATTTTGGGATACTTTAGGGATATTTTGGGGCGGTTTTGGGGTCCCTCACCCGGTGCAGTTTGTAGTACAGCCCGCAGGCGTTGCAGACGGGGTCTCCGCGGGGGCTGCGCCTCCACAGCGTGGTGGTGCTGGTCTGGCAGTTGCTGCAGACGGTGCCGGCGCGTTTGCTCACCAGCTGCCAAAAAACGGGGGGGGACGTTTGGGGTTCGGTGAACCCAGAGATTTGGGGGGGACTGGGGCGGAGCAGAGAGGGTTTGGGGTGGGTTTGGGGGCGTGAGGAGGGGTTTAGGGTGGATTTGGGGGTGTGAGGAGGGGTTTGGAGTGGATTTGGGGGTGTGAAGAGGGGTTTGGAGTGGATTTGGGGGTGTAAGGAGGGGTTTGGAGGGACTAAATGAGGATTTGGGGGTGTAAGGAGGGGTTTGGGGTGGATTTGGGGGTGTCAGGAGGGGTTTGGGGGGACTAAATGAGGATTTGGGGGTGTAAGGAGGGTGATTTTGGGGTGCCAGCTGTATTTTGGGCATCCCCAGGTGTATTTCAGGGTCCCTGGGGTGATTTCGGGGTTCCCCGGTGGGTTTGGGGTTCCCCGTGTCCATTTCGGGGTCCCTGAGGTGATTTTGGGGTTCCCTGGTGCATTTTGGGCTTTCCCAGCGCATTTCAGGGTCCCTGAGGTGATTTTGGGGTTCCCAGGTAAATTTTGGGGGTTCCCCGGTGCATTTCGGGGTTCCCCTGGTACATTTGGGGGTTCCTGAGTCAATTCGGGGTCCCTGAGGTGATTTTGGGGCTCCCCGGTGGATTTTGGTGTCCCTGAGGGGATTTGGAGGTTCCCCGGTACATTTTGGGGTCCATGAGGCAATTTGGGACCCCCCAGTGGATTTTGGGGTCCCTGAGGCGATTTTGGGGTCCCTGAGGGGATTTCGGGGTCCCTGAGGGGATTTCGGGGTTCCCCCGATACATTTTGGGGTCCCTGAGGCGATTTCGGGGTCCCTGAGGTGATTTCGGGGTCCCTGAGGGGATTTTGGGGTCCCTGAGGCGATTTTGGGGTTCCTGAGGTGATTTTGGGGTTCCCATGTCCATTTTGGGGTCCCTGAGGGGATTTCGGGGTCCCTGAGGTGATTTCGGGGTCCCTGAGGGGATTTCGGGGTCCCTGAGGTGATTTCGGGGTTCCCATGTCCATTTTGGGGTCCCTGAGGCGATTTTGGGGTCCCTGAGGCGATTTTGGGGTCCCTGAGGCGATTTCGGGGTCCCTGAGGGGATTTTGGGGTCCCTGAGGTGATTTTGGGGTTCCCATGTCCATTTGGGGGTCCCTGAGGTGATTTTGGGGTTCCCATGTTCATTTTGGGGTCCCTGAGGGGATGTGGGTCTCACCAGGCGCTTCTTGGGGCGGATGAGGGGCCGGTTGTGGCCGTTGAGGCGGTGGTACAGCCCGCAGGCGTTGCACAGGTAGTGCCCGGTGCCGTCCCGGCGCCACAGCGGCGTCGCCGTCGCCCCACAGTTCACACACTCGCGCGCCTCTAAGGGAGGGCACGGACCGGTATAGACCGGTACGGACCAGTTCAGACCGGTATGGACTGGTATGGACCGGTACGGACCAGTTCAGACCGGTATGGACCGGTATAAACCAGTATAAACCGGTACGGACCAGTATGGACCAGTTCGGACCAGTATGGACCGGTACAGACCAGTTCAGACTGGTATGGACCAGTATGGACCGGTATAAACCGGTACGGACCGGTATGGACTGGTATGGACCAGTATAAAGCAGTATAAACCAGTATGGACCAGTACGGACCAATATGGACCGGTATGAACCAATACGGACCGGTACAGACCGGTATAAAGCAGTACAGACCGCTACAGACCGGTACAGACCGGTATGGACCAGTATGGACCGGTACGGACCGGTATAAACCAGTACGGACCGGTACGGACTGGTATGGACCGGTATAAACCAGTACAGACCAGTAAGGACCAGTATGGACCAATACTGACCAGTATAGACTGGTATAAACCAGTACAGACCAGTATGGACCAGTACAGACCACTATGGACCAGTACGGACCAGTACAGACCAGTTCTCCCCAGTCCCTCCCGGTTCCCTCCCAGTCCCCCCCAGTCCGTTCCCAGTATAAACCAGTATGAACCAGTGCCCCCAGTCCATTCCCAGTATAAACCAATATAAACCAGCCCCCCCAGTCCATTCCCAGTCCATTCCCAGTCCATTCCCAGTATAAACCAGCCCCCCCCAGTCTGTTCCCAGTATAAACCAGTATAAACCAGCCCCACCCAGTGCATTCCCAGTATAAACCAGTATGAACCAGTGCCCCCAGTCCATTCCCAGTATAAACCAGTATGAACCAGTGCCCCCAGTCCATTCCCAGTATAAACCAGTATAAACCAGTGCCCCCAGTCCATTCCCAGTCCATTCCCAGTATAAACCAGTATGAACCAGTGCCCCCAGTCCATTCCCAGTATAAACCAGTATAAACCAGTGCCCCCAGTCCATTCCCAGTCCATTCCCAGTATAAACCAGTATAAACCAGTGCCCCCAGTCCATTCCCAGTCCATTCCCAGTATAAACCAGCCCCCCCAGTCCGTTCCCAGTATAAACCAGTATGAAGCAGTGCCCCCAGTCCGTTCCCAGTATAAACCAGTATAAACCAGTGCCCCCAGCCCGTTCCCAGTATAAACCAGTATAAACCAGTGCCCCCTAGTCCATTCCCAGTCCGTTCCCAGTACAAACCAGTATAAACCAGCCCCCCCAGTGCGTTCCCAGTATAACCCAGTATAAACCAGTGCCCGGTCTCACCGCAGGCGGCTCCGGCGGGCAGCGGGGGGGGTCCGGCGGGGGGGGGGCTGCGGGGGGGCTGCAGCAGCTCCAGGAACCGGGGGGGCTCCGGGGGGGGAGGGGGCCAGGAGGGACCCCCCAGGGACCCCCCCAGGGACCCCCCCAGGGACCCCCCCAGGGACCCCCCCAGCGACCCCCCCTCAGGCCAGGGCAGCAGCGACAGCCGGCCTGGGGACACGGGGGGACATCAGGGGGACAGCGGGGGGATCGGGGACATTGGGGACATTGGGGACATTGAGGGGATTGGGGACATTGGGGGGATTGGGGACATTGGGGACATTGGGACATTGGGGACAATGGGGACATTGGGACATTGGGGACATGGGGGACATGGGGACATTGGGGGGGTTGGGGACATTGGGGACATGGGGACATTGGGGGGATTTGGGACATTGGGGACATTGGGGACATTGGGGACATTGGGGACACTGGGGACATTGGGGACATTGGGGACAGGGGGGACATGGGGACATTGGGGGGGTTGGGGACATTGGGGGACAATGGGGACATTGGGGACATTGAGGGGATTGGGGACATTGGGGACATTGGGGGGACATGGGGGACATTGGGGACATTGGGGGGATTGGGGACATCGATGGGGACATTGGGGACATCGGGGGGATTGGGGACATTGGGGACATCAATGGGGACATTGGGGACATCAGGGGGACATTGGGGACATTGGGGGGATTGGGGACATTGGGGGGATTGGGGACATTGGGGACATTGGAAACATTGTGACACAGGGGTGACACACAGGTGACACACAGGTGCCAGGTGGCAGCGGTACCTGTCGGGGGGTACCCCCCCAGCAGCGCCCCCGCCTCGGGCCCCTCGGGCGCCCCCAGCCCCAGGAGGGCTCCGGACTCCTCCGGGAACGGGGGCGGCACCTCCGGCCCCCCGAGCACCCCGAACTCCATCGGGACCCCCCAAACCCGGCGGGGGCGCCTGCGGGGGCGGGGCAGCACCCCAAAAACCCACATCAGCACCCCAAAACCCAAATCAGCACCCCCAAAACACCAAAAACCCACATCAGCACCCCAAAATCCAAATCAGCACCCCAAAACCCACATCAGCACCCCAAAAACCCAAAACCCCCAAATCAGCACCCCAAAAACACTTGCGGGGAGCGGGGTCAGCACCGCACCCCAAAACCCCAAAAACCCCAGATCAGCACCCCAAAAACCCCCGAAACCCCAAATCAGCACCCCAAAACCCTGCGGAAAGCATGGCTCAGCACAGCACCCCAAAAAACCCAAAAAACCCGGGTCAGCACCCCAAAACAGCCAAAACCCCCAAATCAGCACCCCAAAAACCCCCCAAAACCCCCCAAAACCCTGTGGAGAGCCCGGCTCAACACTGCACCCCAAAAACCCCCAAAACCCCAAATCAGCATCCCAAAAAACCCAAATCCCCTGAGACCCCAAATCTGCACCCCAAAAAAACCCAAATCCTGTAAGACCCCAAATCAGCACCCAAAACCCCCAAAAAACCTGTGAGACACCAGATCAGCACCCCAAAAACCAGACCCTGGGTGACCCCAAATCAGCACCCCAAAACCCCCAAAAAACCTGTGAGACCAGATTAGCACCCCAAAATCCCCAACCCCCCCTGAGAGACCCCAAATCGGCACCCCAAAAACCCCAAAAACCCTGTGAGACCCCGGATCAGCACCCCAAAACCCCGAGCCCCTCGGGGCCCCCCCAAACTCTCGGGGTGCCGAAATCGGGATTTGGGGGTCCCCAACCCCTGCGGGTCACGGCCGCACCCCAAAAGTCTCCCCGGGGCCCCTGGGGACCCCCAAACCCCGTCCCACATTTGGGGGGTCCCGCACCCCTGGGTACCCCCAAACTGGGGACCCCCGAACCCCAAAATCCCCAAACTGGGGGTCCAAAACCCCAAAATCCCCATCCCGGGGACCCCCAAACCCCAAACTGGGGGTCCCCAAACCCCAAAATCCCCAAACTGGGGACCCCAAAACCCAAAATCCCCAAACCCCTGGGGACCCCTGAACCCCCAAAATCCCCAACCCCGGGACGCCAAACCACAAAATCCCCAAACTGAGGCTCCCCCGAACCCCAAACTGGGGGTCCCAAACCCCAAAATCCCCAGACTGGGGGTCCCAAACCCCAAAATCCCCAAACCGGGGACCCCAAATCCCCAAATCCCCAAACTGGGGACCCCCGAACCCCAAAATCCCCAAACTGGGGACCCCGAACCTCAAAATCCCCAAACTGGGGACCCCAAAACCGCTAACCCGGGGATCCCAAACCCCAAAATCCCCAACCGGGGACCCCCAAACCCCAAAATCCCCAAACTGGGGACCCTCAAACCCCAAAGACCCCAAAACTCTGAAATCCCCAAACTGGGGATCCCCCGAAACCTCAAAATCTCCAAACTGGGGGTCCCCAAAGCCCCAAACCCCCGAACTGGGGACCCCTAAACTCCTGGGGACCCCCGAACCCCAAAACCCCCGAAGTGGTGTCCCAAACCCCCGGGGACCCCAAAACGCTGAAATTCCCAAACTGGGGATCCCCCAAAGCCCCAAATCCCAAAACTGGATAGCCCTGAACCTCAAAATCCCCAACCCGGGGATCCCCCAACCCCAAAATCCCCAAGCTGGGGGTCCCAAACCCCTGGGGACCCCCAAACTCTGAAATCCCCAAACTGGGGATTCCCCCAACCCCAAAATCTCCAGACCCCTGGGGACCCCCCAACCCCAAAACCCCCGAACTGGGGGTCCCAAACCCCCGGGGACCCCAAAACGCTGAAATTCCCAACCCGGGGATCACCCAAACCCCAAAAATCCCCAAACTGGAGACCCCAAACCCCAAAATCCCCAAACTGGGGACCCCCGAACTGCAAAATCCCCAAACTGGGGGTCCCAAACCCCTGGGGACCCCCAAACTCTTCTCCCAACCCCAAAATCCCCAAACTGGGGACCCCTAAAGCCCTGGGGACCCCAAAACACTGAAATTCCCAACCCGGGGATCCCCAAACCCCAAAATCCCCAAACTGGGGACCCCCAAACTCCAAAATCCCCAAACTGAGGCTCCCCCGAACCCCAAAATCCCCAAACTGGGGACCCCAAACCCCCAAATCGCCAAACTGGGGACCCCCAAACCCCAAAATCCCCAACCCGGGGATCCCCCAAACCCCAAAATCCCCAAACTGGGGACCCCCGAACCCCAAAATCCCTAAACTGGGGACCCCCAAACCCCAAAAATCCCCAAACTGGGGGTCCCAAACCCCAAAATCCCCAAACTGGGGACCCCCGAACCCCAAAATCCCCAACCCGGGGACCGCAAAACCCCAAAATACCCAAACCCCAATCTGGGGGTCCCAAACCCCCGGGGACCCCAAAACTCCAAAATCCCCAAACTAGGGATTCCCCGAACCCCCAAATCCCCAAACTGGGGACCCCAAACCCCAAAATCCCAACCCCGGGTACCCCAAACCCCCCCGGACCCCTCCTCCCCCTCCCCCCCCCCCGGTGGGGCTGATTTGGGGTCCCCCCCCCCAGACCCCCCTGAACCCCAAATCGGGGGTCCCCACCCCTGTGACACCCCAAAACCCGCGGGGGTCTGGGGGGGGCAGAGCTCACCTGGCGCTGCGGGAGCCGCCGCTTTTGGGGGATTTTGGGGGTTTTGGGGAGTTTTGGGGAGTTTTGGGGCGTTCCGGGTTTTGGGGTGCGGGGGGGCGGTAACGGCCCCGGGGCTGCCCGGGGCTGATAAGGCCTTATCAGATTTTGGGGTGCGGCGGTTGGGTTTGGGGGGGCCGGGCGGGGCCGGGGACCCTTATCAGCCCCGGCCAGAGCGGGGGCAGGGCCCGGGCAGGGAGAGCACCCCAAAAACGGGGCTGGAACCCCAAAAATGGGGAATTGAACCCCAAAAATGGCAATGGAATCCCAAAAACTGGGCTGGAACCCCAAAAATAGGGATGGAACCCCAAAAACGGGGCTGGAACCCCAAAAATGGGGAATTGAACCCTAAAAATGGGGAATTGGACTCTAAAAATGGGAATGGAGCCCCAAAAATAGGGAATTGAACCCCAAAAATGGGTATGGAGCCCCAAAAACGGGGATGGAACCCTAAAAATGGGAATGGAGCCCCAAAAACGGGGATGGAACCCCAAAAATGGGGAATTGAACCCTAAAAATGGGAATGGAGCCCCAAAAATGGGGATGGAACCCCAAAAACGGGGATGGAGCCCCAAAAATGGGAATGGAACCCCAAAAACGGGGAATTGAACCCTAAAAATGGGAATGGAGCCCCAAAAACAGGGATGGAGCCTCAAAAATGGGAATGGAGCCCCAAAAATGGGAATGGAACCCCAAAAATGGGAATGGAACCCCAAAAACGGGGCTGGAGCCCCAAAAATGGGGAATCGAACCCTAAAAATGGGAATGGAACCCCAAAAACGGGGATGGAGCCTCAAAAATGGGAATGGAGCCCCAAAAACGGGGCTGGAACCCCAAAAACGGGGCTGGAGACCCAAAAACGGGGCTGGAACCCCAAAAATAGGGAATTGAACCCTAAAAATGGGAATGGAGCCCCAAAAACGGGGATGGAGCCCCAAAAACGGGGAATTGAACCCTATAAATTGGAATGGAGCCCCAAAAACGGGGATGGAGCCTCAAAAATGGGGAATGGAGCCCCAAAAATGGGAATGGAGCCCCAAAAACGGGGATGGAGCCCCAAAAATGGGAATGGAACCCCAAAAACGGGGAATTGAACCCTAAAAATGGGAATGGAGCCCCAAAAACAGGGATGGAGCCTCAAAAATGGGAATGGAGCCCCAAAAATGGGAATGGAACCCCAAAAATGGGAATGGAACCCCAAAAACGGGGCTGGAGCCCCAAAAATGGGGAATCGAACCCTAAAAATGGGAATGGAACCCCAAAAACGGGGATGGAGCCTCAAAAATGGGAATGGAGCCCCAAAAACGGGGCTGGAACCCCAAAAACGGGGCTGGAGACCCAAAAACGGGGCTGGAACCCCAAAAATAGGGAATTGAACCCTAAAAATGGGAATGGAGCCCCAAAAACGGGGATGGAGCCCCAAAAACGGGGAATTGAACCCTATAAATTGGAATGGAGCCCCAAAAACGGGGATGGAGCCTCAAAAATGGGGAATGGAGCCCCAAAAATGGGAATGGAGCCCCAAAAACGGGGCTGGAACCCCAAAAACGGGGAATTGAACCCCAAAAACGGGGATGGAGCCCCAAAAACGGGGATGGAACACCAAAAAGGGGGAATTGAACCCTAAAAATGGGATGGAGCCCCAACAACGGGGCTGGAGCCCCAAAAATGGGGCTGGAACCGCAAAAATAGGGAACTGAACCCTAAAAATGGGAATGGAACCCCAAAAACGGGGATTGAGCCCCAAAAATAGGGAATTGAACCCTAAAAATGGGAATGGAACCCCAAAAACGGGGATGGAACCCTAAAAATGGGGCTGGAACCCCAAAAACGGGGATGGAACCCCAAAAATGGGGAATGGAGCCCCAAAAATGGGGATGGAGCCCCAAAAACGGGGATGGAGCCCCAAAAATGGGGAATTGAACCCTAAAAATGGGAATGGAAACCCAAAAACGGGGATGGAACCTCAAAAATGGGAATGGAGCCCCAAAAACGGGGATGGAACCCTAAAAATGGGAATTGAACCCTAAAAATGGGGAATGGGACCCTAAAAATGGGAATGGAACCCCAAATTCTACACTGACACCCCGAAAATGGGGATGGAACCCCAAAAATGGGAATGGAACCCTAAAAATAGGAATGGAACCCCAAAAATGGGGAATGGAACCACAAAAATGTGGACTGGAACCCCAAAAATGAGGAATGGAACCCTAAAAATGGGGAATGGAACCCCAAATTCTACACTGACACCCCAAAAGTGCGGAATGGAACCCCAAAAATGGGAATGGAACCCCAAATTCAGGTGTGGCACCCCAAAATTGGGAGTAGCCCCCCAAATTCAGGACTTTTGGCCCAAATCCGGCGCCTGACACCCCAAATTTCACCCCAATTTCGGGCCCTGACACCCCAAATTTCACCCCAATTTCGGGCCCTGACACCCCGAATTTGAGGGATTTTGGCCCTCAGGATCTTCCAGCCCCAAATTGAACATTTTCCGCTGGAAATTCGCAATTTTCAGTCCAAAATTCATTTTTTTTCTGCACCGAACCCGGAGATTGGAACGGGAAATTTGGGATTTTTAGGCCTCCAAAAACCAAGAGAAAAACAGGAAAAAAGCACCAGGAGCCCCAAAAATGGAGATTTTTGAGGGAAAAAATGGATTTGAGGCTAAAATTTGCCCGTTTTGGCCCCAAAGTTGGGTTTTCAGCAGGAAATTTGAGGCTCTCAAGTCAAAATTCGGGATTTTCAGCCTCAAATTCACTTTTTTCAGCAGCAAAATGGGGATTTTGAGCCCAAAATTGGATATTTTTAGGCCTCGATATACCCAAAAAATAGAATTTTTGAGGGGAAAATGGAGTTGTTGAACCACAAATTTTGAATTTCAGGGTAAAATTCAGGGGTTTCAACCTAAAATTGAAGATCTTTGGACCAAAGTTTAGGGTTTTCAGCCCAAAATTTGAGGTTTTGGGGTAAAATTCAGCATTTTCGGGCAAAGTTTGGGGTTTTCAGCCTGAAATTCACCATTTTGGTATCAGAACGGGGATTTTTTCAGTTAAAATTTTATGTTTTTTGGCAAAAAACTTGGGGAATTTCAGCCCCAAAATTTACATTTATAGGACAGAAAATTGGGGTTCTCTGAATCCCAAATCTGGGTGGTTTAACCCTGAAATCATCACTTTTACCCAAAATCGCAAAATTCAGTCCCAAATTGGGGCTTTCAGACACCGAACAGAGAATTTGGATGTTAATAACACGACTTGGATTTTTTTTTTTTTGGTCCAAAATTCTGATTTTTGGGACCAAAATCAGTCTTTTTATTCCAAATTTGGCATTTCCAGCCCAAAAATTGGAATTTTCAGCCCAAAAATTGGAATTTTCAGCCTGGAATTTCAATGATCAACCCCAAAAATCGGATGATTCACCTCAAAATCATAAATTTCAACCCAAAATTGGCAATCTTGACACAAACTTAGGACTTGTAACCCATTATTATATAAATTTAAAAAAATATTTTAATTTAGATTTTTTTTTTAATTATGTACATTTTTTTAGTAAGGAAAAGCTCAACATTTTCACTCTAAAACGAGAATTTCGCAGCCTAAAATTGGGGATTTTATACACAAAAATCAGGAATTTCCACCCAAACCCGGGAGATTTTCAGCCCCAAATTTCCAACGCCCAAAATTCAGATTTTTTTGTCCTTTCGCCGCCGTTTTGGGCTCAAATTCGGCGGTTTTGGCGCCAAACTTGGGGGTGGGGGAAATCTGGGGGGTCCCCAAATTTGGGGAGGGGTCCCAGGGACCGGCAGGGGCTCCTCGGGGACCCCAAAATTGGGAGGGGGCAACAGTGGGGGGGGGGAATTGGGGGTCCCCCAGGGGGTCCCAAATTTGGGGGGGGTCAGTGGGGGTCCCCCAGGCTGGGGAGGGGTCACAGAGCCCCGGGGGGGGTCCCCAAATTCGGGGAGGGGGCGCAGGGCCCCGCGGGGGGGTCAGGGGGGTCAGTGGGGGTCGGGGGGGGTCGGGGGGGTCAGTGGGGGTCCCCAAATTTGGGGGGGTCAGTGGGGGTCCCCAATTCGGGGAGGGGTCCCAGCGCCCCGCGGGGGGGCAGAGGGGGTCAGGGGGGTCAGTGGGGTTCAGGGGGGGGTCCCCAATTCGGGGAGGGGTCTCAGGGCCCCGCGGGGGGGGTCCCCAATTCGGGGAGGGGTCCCAGCGCCCCGCGGGGGGGCAGCTCCAGCGCCCTCTCCAGGCTGAAGTTGGGGTTCCGCCGGGACCCCCCCGGGGCGGGGGGGGGGCTCAGCTCCTGCGGCCCGAAGAAGAAGGGGTGCAGCAGGGCCTGGGGGGAGGGGCAGGGTCACCCCAAAACCCAACTGGGGCACCCCAAAAACACACCCGGGACCCCCAAACACCCACCCGGGACCCCCAAAAACCTACCCGGGACCTCCCAAACCCAACTGGGACCCCCCAAAAACACACCCGGGACCCCCAAAACCCACCCGGGAACCCCAAAAACCCACCCGGGACCCCCCAAACCCACCCGGGACCCCCCAAACCCACCCGGGACCCCCAAACCCAACCGGGACCCCCAAATCCACCCGGGACCCCCCAAAACCCAACTGGGACCCCCAAAACCCAACTGGGGCCCCCCAAACCCAACCAGGACCCCCAAACCCACCTGGGACCCCCAAACCCACCCGGGACCCCCAAAACCCACCCGGGACCCCCCAAACCCACCCGGGACCCCCAAACCCAACTGGGACCCCCCCAAACCCAGTCCCCCCCAGTCCCTCCCAGTTCCCCCAGCCCCCCCAGTTCCCATTCCCAGTCCCTCCCAGTCCCCAGTTCCTCCCCAGTCCCTCCCAGTTCCCCCAGTCCCTCCCAGCCCCCCCAGTTCCCAGTTCCCAGTTCCCAGTTCCCGTTCCCAGTTCCCATTCCCAGTCTCCCCAGTCCCCATTCCCAGTATCCCCAGTCCCCCCAGTCCCTCCCAGTTCCCCCAGTCCCATTCCCAGTCCCGCCTGCTGCGCTCGGGGCCGCATTCCGGGGCAGTAATGCAGCAGCCGCTGCAGCAGGTCCAGTGCAGCCGCATCCGCCCCCGGCACCAACAGCTGCAGCGGCGGCGGCGCCCGCGGCCGGAACCGCAGCTTGGGGAAATCCGGCAGCTCCGCCAGCTCCTGGGGACACAGAAACCAGTATAAACCAGTATGGACCAGTACGGACCAGTATAAACCAGTATGGACCAGTATAAACCACTATAAACCAGTATAGACCAGTATAAACCAGTATGGAACCACGGCCAGAACCGCAGCTTGGGGAAATCCGGCAGCTCTGCCAGCTCCTGGGGACACAGAAACCAGTATAAACCACTATAAACCAGTATGGACCAGTATGGACCAGTACGGACCAGTACAGACCACTATGGACCAGTATGGGCCAGTATAAACCACCATAAACCAGTATGGAACCGCGGCCGGAACCGCAGCTTGGGGAAATCCGGCAGCTCCGCCAGCTCCTGGGGAAACCAGTATAAACCAGTATGGACCAGTATGGACCAGTATAGACCAGTATGGACCAGTATAAACCAGTATGGACCAGTATAGACCAGTATGGACCAGTATAGACCAGTATAAACCAGTATAAACCAGTATGGAACCACGGCCGGAACCGCAGCTTGGGGAAGTCCGGCAGCTCCGCCAGCTCCTGCGGAAACCAGTATGGACCAGTACAGACCAGTATAAACCAGTATGGACCAGTAAGGACCAGTATGGACCACTATAAACCAGTATGGACCAGTACAGAACAGTATAAACCAGTATGGACCAGTACGGACCAGTATGGACCACTATAAACCAGTATGGACCAGTATAGACCAGTATGGACCAGTACAGACCAATATAAACCACTATGGACTAATATAGACCAGTATAGACCAGTATAAACCACTATAAACCACTATGGACCAGTACAAACTACTAGAAACCAGTATAGACCAGCATAGACCAGTATGGACCAGTATAAACCAGTATAAACCAGTATGGACCACTATGGACCACTATAAACCACTATAAACCACTATAAACCAGTATAAACCAGTATGGACCAGTATGGACTATCATAAATCAGTATGGGCTGCTGTGGACCAGTATGGACCAGTATAAACCAGTGCAGGCCAGTACAGACCAGTATGGACCAGTGCGGGACAGTGTAAACCAGTGCTCCCAGTGCTCCCAGTCCCTCCCAGTCCCCCCCAGTCCCTCCCAGTCCCTCCCAGTGCTCCCAGTTTGGTTTCAGGCTGTTCCCGTTCTCTCCCAGTCCCTCCCAGTCCCCCCCAGTCCCTCCCAGTCCCCCCCAGTCCCTCCCAGTCCCTCCCAGTCCATTCCCAGTCCCTCCCAGTCCCCCCCAGTCCCTCCCAGTCCCTCCCAGTCCCTCCCAGTCCATTCCCAGTCCCTCCCAGTCCCCCCCAGTCCCTCCCAGTCCCCCCCAGTCCCTCCCAGTCCCTCCCAGTCCATTCCCAGTCCCTCCCAGTCCCCCCCAGTCCCTCCCAGTCCCTCCCAGTCCATTCCAGTTCCCTCCCAGTCCCTCCCAGTCCCCCCCAGTCCCCCCCAGTTCCCCCCCAGTCCCCCCAGTCCCTCCCAGTTCCCCCAGTACCGGCCAGTCGCGGGCCCGGGGCGTTCCCAGCGCGCTCAGCACGCGGCAGAGCTGCTCCAGGTCCGTGTCACCGGGAAACAGCGGCGCGAGCGTGATCAGCTCCCCCAGGATACACCCGGCGGCCCTGGGGGACCCCAAAATTCACTGATTGTACCCCAAAATTCACTGATTGTACCCCAAAATCACTGATTGTACCCCAAAAATGAGAGATTGTACCCCAAAATCACAGCAGCTCCCCCAGGATACAGCCCGCGGCCCTGGGACCCCAAAAATGAGATATTGTACCCCAAAAATCACTGATTGTACCCCAAAATCACAGCAGCTCCCCCAGGATACAGCCCGCGGCCCTGGGAACCCCAAAAATGAGTGATTGTACCCCAAAATCACAGATTGTACCCCAAAATTCACTGATTGTACCCCAAAAATCACAGATTGTACCCCAAAATCACTGATTGTACCCCAAAAATCACTGATTGTACCCCAAAAATGAGAGATTGTACCCCAAAAATACAGCAGCTCCCCCAGGATACAGCCGGCGGCCCTGGGTACCCCAAAAATGAGATATTGTACCCCAAAATCCACTGATTGTACCCCAAAAATACAGCTGGGGTACCCCAAAATCACAGCAGCTCCCCCAGGATACAGCCGGCGGCCCTGGGACCCCAAAATTCACTGATTGTACCCCAAAAATCACTGATTGTACCCCAAAAATGAGAGATTGTACCCCAAAAATGAAAGATTGTACCCCAAAATCACAGCAGCTCCCCGAGGATGCAGCCCGCGGCCCTGGGACCCCAAAAATCAGAGATTGTACCCCAAAATCAGAGATTGTACCCCAAAAATGAGGGATTGTACCCCAAAAATCAGAGATTGTACCCCAATAATCACAGCAGCTCCCCGAGGATACACCCGGCAGCCCTGGGGGACCCCAAAATTCACTGATTGTACCCCAAAAATCACTGATGGTACCCCAAAAATCACAGCAGCTCCCCGAGGATGCAGCCCGCAGCCCTGGCACCCCAAAAACACAGATGGGTACCCCAAAAATCACAGTGGTACCCCCAATCACGGGGGGACCCCGAAATCCCAGGGGATCCCCGAAAACCCATCAAGGGACCCCAAAATCCCAGCGGGACACCCCAAAATTCCTGGGGGACACCCCAAATCCCAGGGGGACACCCCAAATCCAAGGGGGGACACCCCAAAATCCTGGGGAGACACCCCAAAATCCGAGGGGGGACGCCAAAACCCAGGGAGGACTCCAAAATCACATCGAGGGACCCCAAAATTGCAGAGGGATCCCTGAAATCCCAGTGGGACACCCCCAAAATTCCAGGGGAACACCCCAAAATTCAGTGGGACACCCCAAAAAAACATGGGGAACCCCCCAAAAAATTCAGGGGACACCCCAAAACCCAGGGGGGACACCCCAAAATCTCAGGGGGAGACCCCAAAATCCCAGGGGGACACGCCAAAAACCCAGGGGGACACCCCAAAATTCCAGGGGAACACCCCAAAATTCAGTGGGACACCCCAAAAAAACATGGGGAACCCCCCAAAAAATTCAGGGGACACCCCAAAACCTAGGGGGACACCCCAAAATTCAGGGGGAGACCCCAAAATCCCAGCAGGACACCCCAAAATCCCAGGGGAACACCCCAAAATTCAGTGGGACACCCCAAAAAAACACGGGGAACCCCCCAAAAAATTCAGAGGACACCCCAAAATCCGGGGGGACCCCCCAAAAACGAGCACCCACCACAAATCCACGCCCTCGTCGTAGCGCCGGGCGCCGTAGAGCAGCTCGGGGGCGCGGTACCACCTGGAAAAGGGGGGTCGGGGGGGGTCCCTCGGGATTTGGGGGGACCCCCCGGCCCGGCCCGGGGGGGGACACCCCAAAATCCGGTACCTGGTGGCCACCTGGTGGCTGTAGGGGCGCCCCGGGGTGGGGCTGAGCAGCCGCGCCAGCCCAAAATCCGCCAGCTTGAGGCGCCCGGCGCTGTCCAGCAGCAGGTTGGCGGGTTTCAGGTCCTGCACCCCAAAATCCGCCTCGGCTCGGGGGGGACCCCAAAAACTCGGGGTACCCCCCCCGGGGCTCCCCAGGTCAGTGACACCCCCAGAACGCGGCGCCCCCCTCGATTTTGGGGTGCGCTCAACACCCGGGGCACCCCCCCCGCAGATATTGGGGTCCCACCACAGGTCCTCACCCCGGTTTTGGGGTCCCCAATCCCATTTTGAGGTCCTCAATCCCAATTTTTAGGGTCCTCAATCCCAAATTTTGGGGTCCCCACTCCCAATCTTGGGGTCCCCACTCCCGTTTTTGGGGTCCCCAATCCCATTTTCGGGGTCCCCACTCCCATTTTTGGCATCCCCAATCCCATTTTTGGCATCCCCAATCCCATTTTTGGGGTCCCTTATCCCATTTTTGGGGTCCCAAATCCCATTTTTGGGGTTCCCCATCCCCCCGCAGTTTGAGGCGCCCGGCGCTGTCCAGCAGCAGGTTGGCGGGTTTCAGGTCCTGCACCCCAAAATCGTGCTGGGGGGGACCCCAAAAACTCGGGGTACCCCCCCGGGGTTCCCCAGGTCAGCGACACCCCCAGAACGGGGCTCCCCCCTCGATTTTGGGGTGCATTCAACACCCGGGCACCCACCCTGCAGATATTGGGGTTCCCCCAAAGGTGACCGCCCCGGTTTTGGGGTCCCCACCCCGGTTTTGGGGTCCCCACCCCGGTTTTCGGGTCCCCACCCCGGTTTTCGGGTCCATACTCCCATTTTTGGGGTCCTCCACCCCGGTTTTGGGGACCCCAATCCCAAATTTTGGGGTCCCCACTCCCATTTTTGGGATCCCCACTGCTGTTTTCAGGGTCCCCTATCCCATTTTTGGGGTCCCCACTCCCATTTTTGGGGACCCCACTCCCATATTTTGGTCCCCAGTCCCGTTTTTGGGATCCCCCACCCCAGCTTTGGGGTCCTCACCCCGGGTTTTAGGGTCCCCAATCCCATTTTCGGTGTCCCCAATCCCATTTTTGGTGTCCCAAATCCCATTTTTGGGGTCCCCGCTCCCGGTTTTGGGGTCCCTTATCCCATTTTGGAGGTCCTTTATCCCATATTTGGGGTCCCCAGTCCCATTTTTGAGGTCCCTTATCCCATTTTCGGTGTCCCCAATCCCATTTTTGGGACCCCAATCCCATTTTTGGGGTCCCCAATCCCCCGCAGTTTGAGGCGCCCGGCGCTGTCCAGCAGCAGGTTGGCGGGTTTCAGGTCCTGCACCCCAAAATCCGCCTCGGCTCGGGGGGACCCCAAAAACTCGGGGTACCCCCCCCGGGGCTCCCCAGGTCAGTGACACCCCCAGAACGCGGCGCCCCCCTCGATTTTGGGGTGCGCTCAACACCCGGGGCACCCCCCCTGCAGATATTGGGGTCCCCACAGGTGCCCGCCCAGGTTTTGGGGTCCCCACCCCGGTTTTGGGGTCCCCAATCCCAAATTTTGGAGTCCCCAATCCCATCTTTGGGGTGCCCAGTCCCATTTTTGGGGTCCCCCATCCCATTTTTAGGGTCCCCCATCCCATTTTTAGGGTACCCAATCCCATTTTTGAGGTCCCCACTCCCGTTTTTTGGGGTCCCCACTCCCATTTTTGGCGTCCCCAATCCCATTTTTGGGGTCCTTTATCCCATTTTTGGGGTCCCCAATCCCAATTTCGGTGTCCCCAATCCCATTTTCGGTGTCCCCAATCCCATTTTTGAGGTCCCCAATCCCATTTTCAGTGTCCCCACCCCCATTTCAGGCTCACCCGGTGCAGCAGGCGCTGCCCGTGCAGGTGGCCCCGCCCCCCCATTTTTGGGGTCCCCAATCCCATTTTTTGGGTCACCATTCCCATTTTTGGGGTCCCCACTCCCTTTTTTGGGGTCCCTTATCCCATTTTCGAGGTCCCCAATCCCATTTTCGGTGTCCCCCATCCCATTTATGGCATCCCCAATCCCATTTTCGGTGTCCCCAGTCCCATTTTCGGCGTCCCCAATCCCATTTTTGAGGTCCCTTATCCCATTTTTGGGGTCCCAAATCCCATTTTTGAGGTCCCAAATCCCATTTTCGGGGTCCCCAATCCCATTTTCTGTGTCCCCACTCCGATTTTCAGTGTCCCCAATCTCGTTTCGGGCTCACCCGGTGCAGCAGCCGGAGCCCGTGCAGGTGGCCCACCTCCCCCATTTTCGGGGTCCCCAATCCCATTTTCGGGGTCCCCAATCCCATTTTTGGGGTCCCCAATCCCATTTTCGGGGTCCCCAATCCCATTTTTGACATCCCCAATCCCATTTCAGGCTCACCCGGTGCAGCAGCCGCTGCCCGTGCAGGTGGCCCAGCCCCCCCATTTTTGGGGTCCCCAATCCCATTTTTGACATCCCCAATCCCATTTTTGACGTCCCCAATCCCATTTTCGGGGTCCCTTATCCCATTTTCGGGGTCCCCAATCCCATTTTCTGTGTCCCCACTCCCATTTTCGGCATCCCCAATCCCATTTTTGACATCCCCACCCCCATTTCAGGCTCACCCGGTGCAGCAGGCGCTGCCCGTGCAGGTGGCCCCGCCCCCCCATTTTCGGTGTCCCCAATCCCATTTTGGGGTCCCCAATCCCATTTTTTGGGTCCCCAATCCCATTTTCAGTGTCCCCAATCCCATTTCAGGCTCACCCGGTGCAGCAGGCGCTGCCCGTGCAGGTGGCCCAGCCCCCGCAGGGTCATGGCCAGCAGCGCCCGCACCCGGGCCGGGGGCAGCGGGGCGGGGGCCGCCCGCAGGAGCCCCCCGAGATCCGCCACCAGCAGCTCCAGAGCCAAAACCACCGCCGGGCCCTGAGCAAAGGCGGCGCGGAGCCGGATCACCTGCGGGGACAGAGGGGGGACAGCGGGGACATCAGTGGGGATAGAGGGGGGACAGAGTGGGGACAGAGCGGGGACAGAGGGGACATCAGTGGGGACATCAATGGGGACAGCGGGGACAGCGGGGACAGAGGGGGGACATCAGTGGGGACAGCGGGGACAGCCCTGGGGACAGAGCGGGGACAGAGTGGGGATAGAGCGGGGACAGAGTGGGGACACAGGGGACATCAGTGGGGACAGCGGGGACAGCGGGGACATCAGTGGGGACAGAGCGGGGACAGAATGAGGACAGCGGGAATGGAGCCGGATCACCTGCGGGGACAGAGGGGACAGCGGGGACATCAGTGGGGACAGAGCGGGGACAGCGAGGGGACGTCAGTGGGGATAGCGGGGACAGAGCAGGGACAGAGCAGGGACAGAGCGGGGACAGAGCGGGGACAGTGTGGGGACAGTGTGGGGACATCAGCGGGGACAGCGAGAGGACAGCGGGGACAGAATGAGGACAGCGGGAATTGAGCCGGATCACCTGTGGGGACAGCGGGGACACAGGGGACATCAGTGGGGACAGAGGGGACAGCGGGGACAGAGGGGGGACATCAGTGGGGACAGCGGGGACAGCCCTGGGGACAGAGCGGGGACAGAGTGGGGATAGAGCGGGGACAGAGTGGGGACACAGGGGACATCAGTGGGGACAGCGGGGACAGCGGGGACATCAGTGGGGACAGAGCGGGGACAGCGAGGGGACGTCAGTGGGGATAGCGGGGACAGAGCAGGGACAGAGCAGGGACAGAGCGGGGACAGAGCGGGGATAGAGTGGGGATAGAGCGGGGACAGTGTGGGGACAGTGTGGGGACATCAGCGGGGACAGCGAGAGGACAGCGGGGACAGAATGAGGACAGCGGGAATTGAGCCGGATCACCTGTGGGGACAGCGGGGACACAGGGGACATCAGTGGGGACAGAGGGGACAGCGAGGGGACGTCAGTGGGGATAGCAGGGACAGAGCGGGGACAGAGCGGGGATAGAGCGGGGACAGTGTGGGGACAGAGGGGGGACAGAGCGGGGACAGCCCTGGGGACAGAGAGGGGACAGAGAGGGGACAGAGCCGGGATAGAGTGGGGACAGTGTGGGGACAGTGTGGGGACAGTGTGGGGACATCAGCGGGGACAGCGAGGGGACAGCGGGGACAGCGGGGACAGAATGAGGACAGCGAGAATGGAGCCGAATCACCTGCGGGGACAGAGCGGGGACACAGGGGACAGCAGTGGGGACAGCGGGGGGATAGCGGGGACAGCGGGAATGGAGCCGCGATCACCTGCGGGGACAGAGGGGACACAGGGGGGACATCAGTGGGGACAGTGGGGACAGAGCGGGGACATCAGTGGGGACAGCGGAGACAGCGGGGATAGAGAGGGGACAGAGCGGGGATAGAGCGGGGACAGCGAGGGGACAGCGGGGACAGCGGGAATGGAGCCGGATCACCTGCGGGGACAGAGGGGACACAGGGGACATCAGCGGGGACAGAGCGGGGACAGTGTGGGGACAGTGTGGGGACAGTGTGGGGACAGAGGGGGGACAGAGGGGGGACAGAGGGGGGACAGAGCGGGGACAGCGAGGGGACGTCAGTGGGGACATCAGCGGGGACAGCGGGGACAGAATGAGGACAGCGGGAATGGAGCCGGATCACCTGCGGGGACAGCGGGGACAGGGAGGGACATCAGCGGGGACATCAGTGGGGACATCAGTGGGGACAGAGCGGGGATATCAGCGGGGACAGAGCGGGGACAGAGTGGGGATAGAGCGGGGACATCAGTGGGGACAGAGCGGGGACAGCGAGGGGACGTCAGTGGGGACAGTGGGAACAGAGCAGGGACAGAGCTGGGATAGAGCGGGGACAGTGTGGGGACAGTGTGGGGACAGTGTGGGGACAGTGTGGGGACAGAGGGTGGACAGAGGGGGGACAGAGAGGGGACAGCGTGGGGACATCAGTGGGGACATCAGCGGGGACAGCGAGGGGACAGCGGGGACAGCGGGGATGGAGCCGGATCACCTGCGGGGACAGTGGGGACAGCGGGGACAGCTGGGACAGCCCTGGGGACAGAGCGGGGACAGAGCGGGGACAGAGCGGGGACAGAGGGGACATCAGCGGGGACAGCGGGGACAGCCCTGGGGACAGAGCGGGGGCAGAGCGGGGACAGCGGGGAGGACACTGGGGACGCAGCGGGGACACGGACAATACCGGGCACAGCGGGGACAGTGGCACCTGGGGGGACACCGGAGACGGTGACACCGGGAGCCGCCTCAGGTGGGGGAGGGGACAGCGGGGGGTCACGGGGACACCGGAACTGGGGGGGACACGGGGAAATGGGGCAGGAATGGGGAGGGGGACCCCGCAGAAGGGGGGGAACCCTGAAATGGGGGGGGGGGGCGGGAGGATGGGGGCGTCACTGGGGATTTGGGGGGACTGGGAGCACTGGGAGCACTGGGAGCCAAACTGGGAGCACTGGGAGGCAAACTGGGAGCACTGGGAGGGACTGGGAGGGACTGGGAGCACTGGGAGCACTGGGAGCACTGGGGGCACTGGGGGCACTGGGAGGGACTGGGAGCACTGGGAGCCAAACTGGGAGTACTGGGAGCCAAACTGGGATCCAAACTGGGAGCACTGGGAGCCAAACTGGGAGCACTGGGAGCACTGGGAGCCAAACTGGGAGCCAAACTGGGAGCCAAACTGGGAGCACTGGGAGCCATACTGGGAGCACTGGGGGCCAAACTGGGAGCACTGGGATCACCGGGACTCGCTGACTCACGTTCGGGTGCGCCTCCATCTCCCTCAGGGCTTTGATCTCCCTCAGGGTCTGCAGGGGCAGCCCCTCCTCGGGCCGCCGCAGCGGCACCTTCTTCAGCGCCACCAGCTCCCCGGTCTGGGGGCACAGCGGGCGCTCAGCGGGGCCCCGCGGCCCCGGTGCCGCCCCCCGGTCCCCGCCGCACCTGCCGGTGCTTGGCCCGGTACACGACGCCGTGCGCGCCCTCCCCGATGCGGCCCAGCACCATGTACTGCTCCATCCCGCCGGGCGCGGTCCGCCACCGGCCCACAGTGCCCCGCGCCGCCCGCCGCGCCGGGCTGCCATGGCAACAGGCCCCGCCCCTGGCCACAGCCAATCGCCACCCGCTCCTCGCGGCTAGGCCCCGCCCCTAGCAACAATCACCATGGCAATAGGCCACGCCCCTAGCAACAGCCCCGCGCAACAGCCAATCGCCACCCGCGCCTCTCGACTAGCCCCCGCCCCTAGCAACGATCACCCTGGCAACAGGCCACGCCCCCGGCAGCCCCAGCAACGCGGGTTATGGCACGGCAACGAGGCCCCGCCCCTAGCAACGATCACCCTGGCAACAGGCCCCGCCCCTAGCAACAGCCCAGCGCAACAGCCAATCGCCACCTGCTCCGCGCAACTAGTCCCCGCCCCTAGCAACGATCACCCTGGCAACAGGCCACGCCCCCGGCAGCCCCAGCAACACGGGTCACGGCACGGCAACGAGCTCACGCCCATAGCAACATAGCCACGCCCCTTAGCGACCAGGCCCCGCCCCCTCGGCATCCCCCGCTCCCCGGCAACCGCGCCCCGCCCTTGGCAACGGCCGCCCCGTCGCGCGCCGCCATTTGGCCGCGCTGCGCTCTGATTGGTCGGCGCCGCCGCGCGGGGAGGGACGGCGGGCGCTGATTGGTGGGCGCGGGGGCCACGCCCCTTCTCCCTCAGGCGGGCGCCGGGCGAGGCGCGGGCGGGGGGTTCGGGGAGGTTTTGGGGGGTTTTGGGGTTTTTTGGGGTTTTTTGGGGTTTTTTCGGGGGTCCCGGCACGCAGCGAGCCCCGCTGGGGTCGGGATGGCGGCGTTGCCTCCGCGGGAGTTCGCGGCGCAGGTGCTGCCCGGCTGCGTGGTGCCCACGGCGCGGCAGGGCCTGGCCCAGCTCTGGCCGCTGCTGCTGCTCTGCCTCGGGGCGCGGCTGCTGCACCGGCTGCGTGAGTGGGGCCGCGACGGACCGGGGGGCTGGGGGGCTCCGGGGGGGTCCGGGGGGCTCCGGGGGTCTGGGGCTCCGGGGGTCTGGGGGGGTCCGGGGGGAGTCGGGGGCATCTGGAGGGTCCCGGGTGCTGCGGCGGATCCGTGAGGGGCCGCGGGTCCGGGAAGGGTTCGGGTGTCCGGGAGGGTTCTGGGGGGATCCGGGAGGGTCTGGGGTGTTCCGGGGGTCCGGGGGGGTCCGGGGGGTTCCGGGGGGCTCCGGGGGTCTGGGTGAGAGGACCCCCAAGTTTGGGGGTGTTCCCATTTGAAGTGAGGGTACCCCCGGGTTTGGGGTGAGGGTACCCCCGGGGTTTGGGGTTTGGGGTGAGGGTACCCCGGGATTTGGGGTGAGGGTACCCCCGGGGTTGGGGGTGAGGGTACCCCCGGAATTTGGGGTGAGGTGACCCCCGGGGATTGGGGTGAGGGTACCCCCGGGGTTTGGGGTGAGGGGACCCCCGGGGATTGGGGTGAGGGTACCCCCGGATTTGGGGTGAGGGGTGACGGTACCCCCGGGGTTTGGGGTGAGGGTACCCCCGGGATTTGGGGCGAGGGGACCCCCGGGATTTGGGGTGAGGGTACCCCCGGGGTTTGGGGTGAGGGTACCCCCGGGGTTTGGGGTGAGGGTACCCCCGGGATTTGGGGTTTGGGGTGAGGGGACCCCCGGGATTTGGGGTGAGGGGACCCCCGGGATTTAGGGTGAGGGTACCCCCGGGGTTTGGGGGTGAGGGGTGATGGTACCCCCGGGGTTTGAGGTGAGGGTACCCCCGGGATTTGGGGCGAGGGTACCCCGTGATTTGGGGTGAGGGTACCCCCGGGGTTTGGGGTGAGGGTACCCCCGGGGTCTGGGGGTGAGGGGACCCCCGGGATGTGGGGTGAGGGGACCCCCGGGTGTGGGGAGAGGGTACCCCCGGGATTTGGGGTGAGGGTACCCCTGGGATGTTGGGTGAGGGTACCCCCGGGGTTTGGGGTGAGGGTACTCCCGGGATTTGGGGGCACTGGCGGTTTGGGGTGAGGGTACCCCCGTGATTTGGGGTGAGGGTACCCCCGGGGTTTGGGGTGAGGGTACCCCCAGGGTGTGGGGCGAGGGGACCCCCGGGATTTGGGGTGAGGGGACCCCTGGGATTTGGGGTGAGGGTACCCCCGTGAAATGGGGTGAGGGTACCCCCGGGGTTTGGGGGCGCTGACGGTTTGGGGTGAGGGTACCCCCGGGGTTTGGGGTGAGGGGACCCCCCGGGATTTGGGATGAGGGGACCCCCGGGGTTTGGGGTGTGGGGTGAGGGTACCCCGGGGTTTGGGGCTCGGGTACCCCGGATTTGGGGTCAGGGTACCCCTGGGGTCTGGGGCTCGGGTACCCCGGGATTTGGGGCGCCCCCCTGACCCGCTGTGGCGCAGCGCTGCCGCGGGGCGGGAAGCACGCGGGGGCGGCGGCCGGGGGGCTCCTGGCCCTGCACCATTTCTTCGGGGCGCAGGCGCTGTGGGTGGCCCTGCTGAGCGCGCTCTGCGTCCTCACCCTCCTCCTGAGCCGGGCCCGCGCCCACCGCGGCCTCTGCCTCGCCCTGGCCGCCCTCAGCTACCTGCTCATGGGGTACGGGCACCGGGAGAGGGACTGGGGGGACTGGGGGGGCACTGGGACAGGGACTGGGGGCACTGGGAGAGGGTTTGGGGGTGATTTGGGGGTGCTGGGAGGGCTCTGAGGGGGGCTCTGCCTCGCCCTGGCCGCCCTCAGCTACCTGCTCATGGGGTACGGGCACTGGGGGGGACTGGGGGGCACTGGGGGGCAGTGGGAGGGACTGGGGACACTGGGAGAGGGACTGGGGGGGACTGGGAGAGGGACTGGGGCCACTGGGAAGGGGGTTGGGGGTGGTTTGGGAGTGCTGGGAGGCACTGGGAGAGGGACTGGGGGCACTGGGAGAGGGACTGTGGGCACTGGGAGGGGACTGGGGGGGACTGGGGGAGGGACTGGGAGGGAACTGGGGGGCACTGGGAGGGCACTGGGAGGGGACTGGGAGGGACTGGGGGCACTGGGAGGGACTGGGAGAGGGACTGGGAGGGCACTGGGAGAGGGACTGGGGGCACTGGGAAGGGGGTTGGGGGTGATATGGGGGTGCTGGGAGGGGGATGGGGGCACTGGGGGGGCACTGGGGCCACTGGGAAGGGGGTTGGGGGTGGTTTGGGAGTGCTGTGAGGCACTGGGAGGGACTGGGAGAGGGACTGGGGGCACTGGGAGAGGGACTGGGGGTACTGGGAAGGGGGTTGGGGTGATTTGGGGGTGCTGGGAGGGGGATGGGAGCGCTGGGAGGGACTGGGAGGGCACTGGGAGGGGCTGGGAGGGGGATGGGGGCACTGGGAAGGGGGTTGGGGGTGATTTGGGGGTGCTGGGAGGAATTGGGAGGGACTGAGAGAGGGACTGGGGCCACTGGGAGGGCACTGGAAAGGGGGTTGGGGGTGGTTTGGGGGTGCTGGGCGGGGGACAGGGGCACTGGGAGGCACTGGGAGGGCACTGGGGGTTCTGGGATGAACTGGGTGTGACTGGGAGGGAGATGGGGGGCACTGGGATGAACTGGGAGTGACTGGGAGCCCCCCAGGGAGCTGCACATGGTGGACACGGTCACGTGGCACAAGATGCGAGGTGAGACCCCCGACCCCCCCCCGGGACCCCCGACTCCCCCCGGGACCCCCAGATCCCCCCCCAGGACCCCCAATCCCCCCCAGCCCCACAGGCCCCATTCCCCTCCCCCCCCACGCCCTGGGGACCCCTCCACTTTGGGGGTCCCCCCTGATTTTGGGGTCCCCAGGGGCACAGATGGTGGTGAGGGTCCCGGGACCCCCAGATTCTCTCCCTTCCCCCCCTTTTGGGACCCCCCAGTTCCTTCCCCCACCGTGGGATGTGGGGCACACCCCGATTTTGGGGTTCTCTCTGATTTTGGGGTGCTCATTGATGTTGGGATCCCCCCCTGATGTTGGGGTGCTCCCGGTTTTGGAGTTGCCGCTGATTTTGGGGTGCTCTCTGATTTTGGGATCCCCCTGGTGTTGGATTTCCCCAGTATTGGGGTCCCCTCCGGTGTTGGGGTTCCCCTGAATGGTCCCGGTGTTGGGGTCCCCCCAGTTTTGGGATCCCCCCAGTTTTGGGGTTCCCCAGTGCGGGGTACCCTGACATGCTGATTTTGGGGTTCCCGGTTTCAGGGTGCCCCCTGTTTCAGGGTGCCCTGATGGTTCCCAATTTCGGGGTGCCCGGTTTGGGGGTCCCCTGATGGTTCCCAATTTTGGGGTTCCTGGTTTGGGGGTGCCCTGACGGTTCCCAGTTTCAGGGTTCCCTGTTTCGCGGTGCCCTGACAGTTCCCGATTTTGGGGTGCCGGGTTTATTTTGGGGTGCCATGACGGTTCCCAATTTCGGGGTGCCCGGTTGGTTTCGGGGTGCCCGGTTTATTTTAGGGTGCCTTGACGGTGTGTGATTTCAGGGTGCCCGGCTGGTTTCGGGGTGCCCTGACAGTTCCCGATTTCGGGGTGCCTGGTTTGTTTCAGGGTCCCCTGACAGTTCCCAATTTCGGGGTGCTCGGCTGGTTTCAGGGTGCCCGGTTTATTTCGGGGTCCCCTGACGGTCCCCATTTCGGGATGCCCAATTTGGGGGTCCCCTGACAGTTTTGGGGTGCCCAGGGGCACAGATGGTGGTGGCCATGAAGGCCGTGTTGCTGGGCTTTGACAGTTCCCCATTTTGGGGTTCCCGATTTGGGGGTTCCCGATTTGGGGGTGCCCTGACGGTTTTGGGGTTCCCAGGGGCGCAGATGGTGGTGGCCATGAAGGCCGTGTCGCTGGGCTTTGACAGTTCCCGATTCGAGGTTCCCAATTTCGGGGTTCCCGATTTGGGGGTGCCCTGACGGTGCCCATTTTGGGGTGCCCGATTTGGGGGTCCCCTGACAGTTTTGGGGTCCCAGGAGCACAGATGGTGGTGGCCATGAAGGCCGTGTCGCTGGGCTTTGACAGTTCCCCATTTCGGGGTACCAGGTTGATTTCGGGGTACCCAATTTCGGGGTACCAGGTTGATTTCGGAGTGCCCAATTTGGGGGTACCAGGTTGATT